AATCAAACGTCATTCGCCGAATTTTGCAAAGACAAAGTTGACTTAGACTTTGGTTTCTCAAACCTCAACACTGAAGTAAACTATTATTTCAATGCTGCTGGAACTGCTTGGGACCCAGTTAGGTTTACATGCGAAAATTTGAATGCAAGAGAATAGAAAGCAGACTTGCAGTCTATATGTTGGACCCAGATATTTCAAATGCTTTAGCTGCCAAATATATTGCAGTTCCACTTATGTTCCCTATACACCAAATATCTGTCAAAGACTTTGCAGGTGAAGTTGGAAACCAAAATCCTGAACCGCAGGTGCAAGAACAGATATTGCTTTAACAACTGCAATGAAACATGCAGATACTATGTTTGTTCTTTTCAGACGAACTATAAATGACTATTCTTGTTTCTACAACCCCGGTATTAAATATCATATAAACATAGATGGCAAATATTATCCAAGAGAAGAATATTCTACAGTTGAGGATATGAGGTCATACAACTTGACATTAGATGCTATGAACTTTAACAACAACTTCACAACAACCATTAACCCTGAAATGCAAAGTTCTATTATGCCATATGTGAAAGTATGGACCCATACAGGAAGTCAAAAAACTCAATATACAAATGGAGACCGTTCAAACTTTTGGCTTGGCATTCCATTTGCTGACTCAGAAGACTTTATGGGTGGTATTTCAACTGTTGGTACTGTACAAATACAATATACTGGTGACAGAGACGGTCCATATGAACTGAGAGCAAAGAAGTTTACAAAACCAATAGCACTTTTCACGGAAGATGCTCTTTTGAAGATTCGTTCGATGAAACCTGCTGGGCTCCTCAGATTGGCATAACGACAGCTTCCATCGAGCAGATTTTGGCAGCAGGTCAGTAAGTTGTTCTTGAACTGACTTCTCTCCGTCAAATATTGACAGTACGCCAGTTTTGACATAATATTGTATTATAAACTTACCTTTAGAAATATCTGTAAGTTTTGTTGTTATATTTTTGTCTGCTTCAAGAACTTTCACCATTTCAGTTATACCAACTTTCTTTGCTTTATGAAAATATTTTGGTTCAGCAAAGACTGCTATTCTATAACATTTTCCATTGTTTGTATAAAGAACTATTCTGTCAATGTATTTGTATTGTTTGTGTGTGTAAACTTTGTTCTGCTTCAATTCGAAGAGATACTCGAATACGTCCATATTTTTATTCGAAGTAAAATGTCATTTCCGAAAAATAGAAGCGTAAGTGTTTCAAAAGGTTTAATGGCGGTGGCAGATGTGAAGTTAAATTCACCAACTCAAACAAACAGTCAAAGTGTTATTGTCAATGTCAAAGAAAGAGATGTTGAAGTGGGGAAACCATACGAAGACGAAGATGGTATAACAATTGTTCCTGTAAAAGAACAACCAACATACCCTGAAGTTAGCAGAGACTTAAGTTCTGTTGCAGATATTCGAAACGACTACCAACAACTGAAAGACAAACTTCAAACTCAGGAGAAGATTTGTCAAGCTTTAGGTATAATGTTAAACTTGGTCGAACACAACCCTGTAAAAGTGAACTCATATGTCATTGCACCTCATGAAGTTTTGAAAGAACTATTGAAACTTTTGACAGAGGCAGACGATATAAACATCAAAGAAATAGAACCCGACGTTAGTTGCTGTGGTGTTTCATATAATGTCATTGACAAGATATACGTTATGAAAGGAGGTGAAACGTTGAACTTAAAATATAGTTTCCCAGACGTTATAAAAATATTTGACGACCACAACATTTCATTAAAATTTATTTGCTAAGTAAATGGCAGAAGACACAATGGTTTATACTATTACGACTAAAAACCCTGAGTCATATAATTCTATAACAACAAACTTACAAAGTCCTCAAGGACGATATTGTAAACTAACTTTAAACACAATGACGACTAAAGCTGTTTTGCTCTTTTGACACCAGAAGATTTTATTGTTGTGAATGGTAAAAAATACTCCTTTGAAGATACTTACTCAGATATACCACCAACAGGTTTTGTTGACTTATTTAATACTTTAAGGACGAGTGTAACATGTGCTGCAACTAGAGCAGGTTTCATTATGTTTGGATGTCCGACTGAGTTTACTATAAACAATATGAGCTATAATACAAAACTTATATCTGGTTTTTACTACCAACAGTTTCCTATAACAGGAAAAGGTGTCATACAAGGAATGTCTGTTCCATTGACTTTAAGTACACCTATTTTATATATTGTTTCAAACTTAGGTTCAAAGTGTTATTCGAATGTCGACAGAAACTACTATGACCAAAAGATACTTATGCGTATAAACAACACTTTCTCTGCTGGTTTGCCTATTGTTCATTCGAATGCAGAGTTTTCAGCTTTAGTAAACTCAAACACTTTAGCAAACATAAACTTAACCTTAGTTGACGCAAACTTTGTTCCTGTAAAACTTTTATGTCCTATGTATTTGTCAATGACGGCAGAAAGTTTCGAATTGGAAGATGCAACTGGTGAAAGTATTGTATTACAAGAACAACTTCAACAACAAATAGCTCAAGAACAACAAATAGCTCAAGAACAACAAATAGCTCAAGAATAAAAAAAAATATTTTTTTTATTTTTATAAAAATGTACAGAATAGATGTTTCAGATTTTTATGACTTCCAAACATTCAGAAATATGTGTCCATTTCGAGACTATAACAAAGCAGTCGAGAATTTGAAACGTTTAGTCATTTATGTCGACTCTGCCCCAGAATGTTATGTTATGAAAGAATGGGATGTAGTCTTTAACAAACCAAGAGCAACAATAGTTTCAGAACAAGAATGTAAACAGAAACTTAAGAAAATAAAAGTCGTACAAGTTGGCATGAAGATGTTAGATGCTTGGGATATCTTATTGTCAAAGTTAGAAGATTTTTCAGTTCGTGGTATAAAGTTTTATACACCATCTCCAAACTTCTATTCTATCTTCACTGGATATAAATACGAACAAGTAGAATGGAAAGAAAATATTATAGAAGCTTGGTTAGACCATGTCAAAGAAATTATATGCAATGGAAACGAAAGAGTCTATGAGTATATCTTATGTTGGTTTGCAAACATCTTACAACATCCAAGTGCTAAAATGAAACTGCTCTCATTATAATTGGAAAACAAGGAACAGGTAAGAACACTTTCTTTACAGATATCTTATGCAAACTGTTAGAAGGTTATTCGAACCCGAATATGACAAACTTAGAAAACATCTGCGGTAAATTTAACTCTTCAATAGAGAATATGAAACTTATAGTATGTAACGAACTTCAAAGTATAGATACAACAAAAGTTTTAAACTCAGATGCTTTGAAGAGTCTTATAACAGACAAAGTTGGAGTTGTTGAAAGAAAATATAAAGACCAAAGAGTTTGTGAAAATGTTGCAAATTTCATTATGGTTTCAAACAATGCTGTTCCGATGAAGTTAGAAAGTTCTGACAGAAGATATGTAGTTGTCAGAACGTCAGAAGCTCATATGCAAGATACAGAATATTTTGACGACTTAGCAGAAACTTTGACATCTGACTTTTACAACCACTTGTTCTCATATTTCATGACATTAGATATTTCAAAGTTCAATCCAAGACAAATTCCACATACCGAAGAGAGACAAACATTGTTAGAAGCAAACAAGAGTGTATATGAACTGTTCATAGATGAAACTGACTTTGAGTGTTTAGATGAAAGGTCATTGTACGATTCGTATAAACAATATTGTCAAGAGTATGGTTATATGACAGCGTCTAAACGAACATTCTTGGCAAATGTCAAAAGTCTTTTAGACGTACAGAATGGTGTATATACAAAGAAAAATTTTTCTGAGTAAATTTTAAAAAAAAATATTTTTTTTATCCGATAGAAAAGATGAAAATTCATCTCAGTAAACAAGTACATGTCAGGACTTAAAGAAGAACTAGACCCATTCACATATTTGAATGTTTACTTCTACCATTTTGAAAAGTCTTCATTCAGCAAAGTTTGGAACATCGAACCAGTTAAGTTTGCTATTGTGACTAAAAATGGTGCGAAATTTGAAGACTTAGACATAGAAGGTTTGTTACAGTCAAAGAAAGTTTTGACAGAAGGTTCTCAAACTTAAAGAAGGCAAAGCATACAAACTTGTTATACCTTATGAACCAAAGAAAGCAGACGACTATGAATATTATGAGTCTAAAGTTGTAGAAGTTCAAGGTAAATTGGGTAAAAAGATTTTAGAGTCTAAGCCAGTGTTTGCTCCTAAAGAGGAAGAGAACATTGACATTGACCCAGAAATGTTCTAAAAATAAAATTTTATTTTTACATGTCAAATTTCTTCTTCTCTGGCTCTGGTTCTTTCTTCTCTTCTTCTACTTTCTTTTCTTTCTTTTCTCTCTTCTTCTTTTCTGGTGGAGTTATGTCAAACTTCTCAGAACCATATTTTTGTAAAAGTTCTTTGTCCTTTAATAGCTCTTCTATTCTGTTTTCTATTTCATCTTCAAGAACAGTGCATGTGTCTTCTTTGCATTCTAAGAAGTTTTGTTGGACTTCATCTCTCCAAGAGGCGTCATCTCTGTCAACAAGTCTGTCATTGACAAATTTTAAGACTTCTCTGCTTAATGTTTTATGGTTCTTGTCATATTCCCAGAAACAGAACTTTAGAACAAATTCACCTTTCTTGTTTACACTATGTAAGATTTTATGGTCGACAGATGTTTTGCTGTCGAAAAGCTTGTCTCGAATATAGATGGCGAAATCGCTAGACATTTTCTAAAAGATAAAAATTTTAATTTTTCTAAAAATATGTTAGAAAAAAAGTTTGCTGACATTGACAAGAAAATTTGAGAATGTTTTAAATAAGAACAAGAGGAAGTTGGAAAATGCTCAGATAAAACCCATACATGACAAGTTCTTATTTGCTCAGAATGGTATAACAGGTCTAATTGCACCACCTGGGTCGGGTAAGACTTTCACTTATCTTAAAATGGCTGCACAACAACAAGAACTAGATGAGAAGAACCCATTCTATGAGTTAGTTGTCATTTGTAGTACTTCTGGTCAATTTGACCAAACCGTCAATTCGTTCAAAGATATTATAAAGAAGTCTAAGTTAGTATGTATAAAAGACTCTGAGTTGTTAGATTGGATAAAGAAGTACCAAAGAAGAGTTTTGAAGTACATTGCTATAAATGAGTATATAAATTCGAAGTTTAAAGACCCAAATGAGGAAATGCAGAGAATATTAGAGAAGAAACACTTCAGAAACAAACAGAAAGAGATAGAATACATTTCGAAGAAATTGCAATCTTACGATTGGAAGACTTACCCTCATAGATGTCTTCTTATCTTAGATGACTTTGCTTCTCATCCTTTGTTAAAGAACAGAGAACAAGATATGTGTCGAATTCTTAAGAAGCTCAGACACTTTAACATTTCAGTTGTCATTTGTGTACAGACAGCAAAGAGTTTAAGTAAGGATGTAAAGAGAATACTTACTGACATTGTACTTTTCCCCGGATTGTCCGAAGACGATTTCATGGAACTTATGAAAGAGTCCATGGCAGGTAAGTTTGACAGACATGAACTATGGGAGAAGTACAAAGTCATACAAGACCCTCATACTTCTTTCAGAATTCACATCTACGCAAACAAAGTTCAAATTGTAAAAAGTCAAGCTTGAAAATGTAAGTGTTTAGTCTTAGTCTGTTGTGGTGCTGGGGCTGTCGGTTCTTCTGGCTTTGGAATGGACTCGGTTGGTGGTACGTCGGACATTCGTTTGTGTCCTGTCGGAAGGAAGAACTTTTCCTGTTGGAAGGAAAAACTTTTCCTGTTGGAAGGAAAAACTTTTCCAGTTGTCGGGAAATTTTTTTCCTGTCTGAAGGAAAAATTTTTTCTGTCGTTCGACCAAAAAGTTCTCAATTTTCGAAAATTTGAATGGTTTACGGACGAACAACAGGAAATTTTTTTCCAGTTGTCGGGAAATTTTTTTCCAGTTGTCGGGAAATTTTTTTCCAGTTGGAAGGAAGGACTCGGAATGTCGGAAGGAAGAACTTGGAATGCCAGAAGGATTTGACAAGACAATTTACCTTATAGAGCTACCTGAGCCATCTGAAGTCAAGCGTAAAAATAAATGGTTCATCTACTCTACTTGTTTGAAGTTGTCAAAATACTCTGTTATTTTTTCTTTCAGTAGCGGTAAGTCTTCTTTGAAGGTAAGAATTGTACAACCTTTAATATCATAGTGTGTTTGAGGTAACGTATCTTGAACTATTTGTTTCACATCTTCATTCGGTGTCATTGAAATCGGTAAGTTTTCGCGATAGAACCAATTTCTGTCAGATTTGTAAATCTTAGCAAGGTCGTAAAAGCTTTTGTTGTTTCTTCTGACTAAATGCAACATAACCATATCTCTGTCTTCTTCTTTCTCCATCTCTTCAGTATAAATCATATACTTATAGTTCTTTTCCTTTCCTTTTGGTACCGAACGTGGTATTCTTTTCTGAAGGCTTTTGTCTTCTTTCATCATATCTTCTCTCTGCTTTGTACAAAGTTCGTCAAGTAGCATAAGTATGTAGATTGCATAACGAGGTGAAGCCCACATTGCTATTGAACTAACTAGGAACTTATGAACATATATACCTTTTAGATGTGATGGTAAGTTTTGTCTGTCTTGGTACATCTTTTTAAGTTCTACATGTTCGAACTCACTGAGGAGTTCATGAGTGCTATTTAATTCAAACCAGTCTTTAGGAAGCTTAGTGTCTGGTGCAAAACATGCTGTCAAAATACTTTGCATTTGGTACATATCGTCTTTGACCGAACGAATGAGACGTAACTGTTTGTTATACTGAACCCACTCATATTCTTCATTTATAGCTTCATGGACGATAGCAGTTGTTGTGTTCTCTGATGTTGACATATCTGTTCTTACATACAAAATAAAAAAAATATTTTATAAAAAATTAGCGTTATTTTCTGACTTTCACAAAAGACCAAAAATAAACGCTTTACATGTATTTTTCAGCAACTTCGTCAAATAATTTTATAGCTTTACCTATCTCATCTACTTCAAACGTTTCTTTACCTTTCGTGGGAGCACCATACATTTTCTCAAACTTTTCAAGCAGTTCTGTTTCTGCAGCTCTCATATCGTTAACAAACACAACCTTAACTCTATTGACTATACTGTCATATCTTTGAGTTATATTATATGTTCTTCCTATCTTATATCTCTTTGTATTGAAGTCCTTCGGTTTCTGAACGATGTAAAGTAAGCCTTCACTGCAACGTTCCGTATCGAATGAACCATATGTTATGAAGTTATATCCAACGACTGGGTCAATCCATAACAAAACTATTGGTATAAGACTTTTGTCTATAAGATATGCTCTTGTTCCATAGAATGCTACTGATATCATAAGCTCAGGATTTCTTGTCAAAATTTTCTGACTAGAAGCATTTCTAACCCAGTCGAATGCTTTCTTTCCAGATGGAGATATAATGTCTGACAAAGAATATTTGTTGTATTTCTTTGAGTATCTTACGTTTAAATCACCTATTCTAACCACTTTGGTGTCATTGTCTATCTTTTTAACTGTTTCAAACTCAAAGTTTGTCATTTTCTGTTTCTTACATACAAAATAAAAAAAATATTTTATAAAAAACTAACTTTATTTTTTCTATTTTGTATCTTAAGGAAATTCACGATTTTCATGTATAAAAGATATGATTTCGGGGATTTTTTTACGAAGTGTTAAAGTTCTCTTCGTAAAAAAATAACAGTTATATAATGAAATTTGGTCATTTTTTCACGATTTTCATGTGTTTTATGCGACCAGGTTTTTTTCCCTACTCGCAATTTTTTACGATTTTCATGTATAAAAGATATGATTTCAGGGATTTTTTTACGAAGTGTTAAAGTTCTCTTCGTAAAAAAATAACAGTTATATAATGAAATTTGGTCATTTTTTTTACGATTTCAGGGTAGATGGTTTTTAGGTGTCACCAGGTCCCTCGGTCAACTAACATCTTTTTGAAAATGGTGACAACATGACATTTTGACAACAGTCCAGGAAATAAACTTCTTCGTACATGTTTTGTCAAGACTTCATCGTCAATGTTTTGTCAAGACTTCTTCATCGTAATGAGCGTAAATCAGACAAAAATATATTTTAGGTGAAGAGGTGAGATCTCACCTGTTTTCTCACCTCTTTTTTCACCTCTTGAATTTTGTATAAAAGATATGATTTCAGGGATTTTTTTACGAAGTGTTAAAGTTCTCTTCGTAAAAAAATAACAGTTATATAATGAAATTTGGTCATTTTACTCGGCAAAAATATATTTTAGGTGAAGAGGTGCGATCTCACCTCCTTTTTCACCTGTTTTTTCACAAGCGTTTTACATGAATTGTACGATGTATATTTGAAATTCTAAACAATTTTGTAGCTTCTATTTCCTCTGTCAGTATGTCAAAAGTTTTCACAATATTGAATGTATCTTTATATTTCTTCTTGACGTCAGATAGAAGGAAATCGTCAGCAGTTGGATAGTTTTTGTTCAGAAATGTCAACATGTCCATTTTATCTTCTGCTGGCTTTTCTGCTTCTTTCTTTAAGTCAGCATAGTCGTTTCGCATACGTTCTATCTCTTTGACGGAGTAGTTATATTTCCTCATTGCTGCTTTACATTTAGAACATTGTGGGTTCATTTTAGCATTGTACATTGAAACCTTACCTGCAAGTACAACTATAGCGTCAATGGTTTTCTTTAACTCAAAAGTTGCGGGTTTTATTTGTTCATTCCATATTTTACATCTTTTATCTTTATCTCTTATCTGCCATACACATTCAGCAACTAACGAAACAAAGTTGTCGTAGGTCTTAAACTCCTCCGATTTATATATGTCAGAAACATTCTTATATACCATATCGCAGTCTTTGTCCATGACTTTGTGGTTGCAATGAAATCCAAGAAACTCATAGTTTACCTTTCGTATGAACTTCTTTATTTCTACTGAGTCAGTTGCTTTGACTTCTATTTCGTCAAATTCAGGAATAGTTAGTTTTTGTTGTTGGATTTCAGGAAGTTTAGGTAGATGGTCAATAATATCCTGCATTTCATAAAGATATTCTTCATTTGTTTCATCTTTCGCAGTGCAATCTAAATCTCCTTGGAGAAGTTCCTGCTTTATCTTCTGGATTTCTGTTTCGAAAGTATATGAAGAAGGAATGAAGCTTTTCATCTCTACTAACATTGAAGTTGGGTTCATGACTAACGAGTTTGGTGCTGTTGTTGCTAACATGTTCTTACAATAAGAATAAAAAATATTTTTTTAAAAAAACTAACTTTATTTTTTATGTTTTTTGTGAAAGTGTCAAAATTCATGAAATTTCAAGAGTTTTCTACGATGTTAGAAAAAATGTTAGAAAAAATGTTAGAAAACGTGTTAGATCTAACATGCTAACATAAAATATATTTTTTGGTGGTACGTCGGACATTGTTCTGAAACAGTACAAATATTGTTCTGAAACAGTACAAATATTGTTCTGAAACAGTACAAATATTGTTCTGAAACAGTACAAATATTGTTCTGAAACAGTACAAATATTGTTCTGAAACAGTACAAATATTGTTCTGAAACAGTACAAATATTGTTCTGAAACAGTACAAATATTGTTCTGAAACAGTACAAATATTGTTCTGAATCAGAACAAATATTGTTCTGAAACAGAACAAATATTGTTCTGAAACAGAACAAATATTGTTCTGAAACAGAAAATTTTTCTCACAAATTGAGAGCTTTGACGGGAAATATTGTTCTGAATCAGAACAAATATTGTTCTGAAACAGTACAAATATTGTTCTGAAACAGTACAAATATTGTTCTGAAACAGTACAAATATTGTTCTGAAACAGTACAAGACTAGTTCTGAAACAGAACAATGGACAACATCGAGCCATTCATGAAATTTCAAGAGTTTTCTACGATGTTAGAAAAAATGTTAGAAAACGTGTTAGATCTAACATGCTAACATAAACTTTATTTTTCAATACTTTTTCTATCTTAAGGAAATTCATGAAATTTCAAGAGGGTAGAAAACGTGTTAGAAAACAGGTTAGATCTAACCTTCTACCCTAAAATATATTTTGGTGTAAATTTCATGAGTTTTCTACGATGTTAGAAATGAGGTTAGAAATGAGGTTAGAAATGAGGTTAGATCTAACATGCTAACATAAAATATATTTTTGGTGTAAATTTCATGAGTTTTCTACGATGTTAGAAAACAGGTTAGAAAAGAGGTGAGATCTCACCTCTTCACCTAAATTATATTTTTGTCTGATTTACGCTCATTACGAAGAAGTTTTGACAAAACATGTACGAAGAAGTCATGAAAATTCAACGGGTGAGAAAAGAGGTGAGAAAAGAGGTGAGATCTCACCTCTTCACCTAAAATATATTTTTGCCGAATTCAGAACAAAACTCAAGAATTTTGGTTGAAAAAACAGGTGGAGCCAAAAGTGGCTCGACCTCAAAACAAGCATTTTGTGAAGAATATAGCAACCGCCGGAATTCTGGCGGTTGGTTTTTATACAAAATTCAACAGGTGAGAAAACAGGTGAGAAAACAGGATAGATCTAACCTTCTACCCTAAAATATATTTTTGCTGAAAAATGACCAAAATTCATGAAAATTCAAGAGGTGAGAAAAGAGGTGAGAAAACAGGTGAGATCTCACCTCTTCACCTAAATTATATTTTTGGTTCATTTACACTCGTTACGATGAAGAAGTCTTGACATTTTCCCGACTGTTGTCAAAATGTCATGTTGTCACCATTTTCAAAAAGATGTTAGTTGACCGAGGGACCGAGGGACCGAGGGACCCCTTCAGTAAACATCTCATTTTAACTCACTTTTTTCTATCTTAAGGAATTTCATGAAAATTCAACGGGTGAAAAAACAGGTGAGAAAAGAGGTGAGATCTCACCACTTCACCTAAATTATATTTTTCAATACTTTTTCAGCACTTTTCCGTAGTTATATATGAAAGACAATTCGAGATAAAAGTCATAGTACAATGGAATAATATGCTGCACACCATTTGTTGTGAACCAAACTTGAAAGTCAGAGAAACTGTTACTAGGTGGTTCGTAGAATTTAGAAGCAAAGTCATAAAAGTCCTTACCGATACATAGAAAACTATTGTTGCTTGAACTGAAACTTGCATGGCACATAACATTTTGAGGGTCAAACACGTTTCTATAAACTGTCAAATCTGCTGGTGGAAGTATAAATTTAAATGGACCATCTGGTGGTAATGGTTCGTTCTGGTTTAGTAACCGAAGAAATTGTGCCCAAGAACGTTTGTCTACTCCCCAATATAAAAACTCCGTATCTCTTGGAGGGTTAATTTCAATCTTTTGAAATGAAACGGTGGAGTTCATCTTGTCATATTCTAGTTTCAGATAGTATGTTCCATTTAGTAAAGAGTCGTATTTTTCTTGAAATTCCCAATAGTATTTGTTTATTTGAGTTTGAAAGTCATTTAGAGTTTTCTCAAGACTTTCGTCTGAACGAACTGTAAAGATCCTCATTTCGTCAAATTTGTCTATAAGACCATCAGAACCTTTATACTGCCCATGAAAATATACTGCGAACATAAACGCGTTAGTTCTATTTGAAAACAAAACTCTTCTAAATCCTATTGCCTTTGCATCTGAAGGACTTTGAAGCCAACGAATTGGATAGTCAAACCTGTATACTCGGGATGAAATTTCCTCATCTGAAATAGTCCTACCAGCATTTGTAAAGATATAGTCTAACGGTTTTGTATCTACTACTTTTGTTCTTTGTTTTTCAACCTGAAGCATTTAATATATGTAAAAATATATGGTTTAAAAAACGTTTTTACTTCATGCAATTTTTTACTTCATGCAATGTTTTATTTCTGTGCCGTCTTCAAGTATGCCCCAGTACTTACGCTTGGAGAGGACATGAACTTCTGAAAATACCTTATCTAGCTTAAAACAGCCCATCTTTTCACCGACCATTCCCATTTCAATGAGTTTGTTATAGCCTTCTTCGTTCGTCATGAGTGCGTCAATGTTCTCATAGTAAACCACAACTTTGGATTTGACTTCGGAGAAGAACTCATTGTAGTTGTCAAGGACTGCCTTTGCGAACTGAGGGTAAGACCAATGTTCGACAATAGGTTTTAATGTGGTTACTAAGCCATTTTGACCTTGAGTGAACTCGTACTTCAAAACAAAAGGAGAAAACCTTTCAACAAAGTTGTCGACCTTCTCATAATGTTTACTCTTCATCTCTTGAGGTTTCTTAATGGAATATCCCCATGTCGAATTCATAAGCAATTTGAGTGTCATTGCAAGTTTGGGGTTTGAAGCTTTCCTAATATCATACAGTTGTTGTATGACTTTTCCAACTGTATAGTTCCTTCCCGGGAACTCACCATCTTCGTTTGGAATTCCAGTCGGAATATATTGGACAAACCTCATGTACGCAGCGTTAAGGTCGACATAGTATATCTTTTCGTTTGAGTCGAACTTGTCGCAACCAATTGGTCCAGTTTGTGGAAATTCAAGTGAGTCTCTTATCTTCTGAGAAACTTCTCCTGTTATCTCATAAACATCGTCGAAGCAACCTGTTTCATATAAAACCTTCTGACCTAACTCAGAAGCTCTCCAATACAATTTGACGTCAATTGGATGTCTCAATGGAAGTTTGTTTATAGCATCTTGAAGTTCTTGCAACCTCATTGGAAGTTCTTCTGGTTCAGGTTGGTATCTGCTACTTTTGTTCTTTGTTTTTCAACCTGAAGCATTTAATATATGTAAAAATATATGGTTTTAAAATGGTATGCCATATAGCTTCTTGAATTTGTTAAGAAGTATTCGAACGCATTTTCCATCTGTATCTCTAGTGTTTACATAAGCATAGCCCGCCTTAGTAAAATATACTTGTAATTTCCTATAGTTTACGCCGGTATAAAAGTAGAAAGAGTCTTGTTCTTCGCTATAGTAGTAAAACTCAAACGTATGCTTGCCATAGTCTGTAATTTCAATTGTTTCATCTTCTAGTTCGTCGACAAATTCGAATACAATATCTCCAATTTTGCTTTTGTTCTTATTGTTTTCAGAACGAGTGACCCAACGTAAGTTTTCAAGTCTATTGTCGTTTCTTATACGGTTTATATGGTCTACAAAAGGTAAATTGTTAGGATTCAGTATAAAATGAGTTGCAATGACAACATGTTTAAAATAGCGTTTCCCACCCATCTTCATCATAGCATATCCGTTATTTTGCTCCCATTCGCTTAAAACTCTTTTTGTCTTTTTGTTTCTGACTTCAAATGACTCACAACAGTGAATTTCATATTTCTCATCTAACAAACAAGTTTCCCAACGGTCTTCTCCAACAAACTCAGCGTACATTTCAAATAAAATAAAAAAATATTTTTTTCTCTTTACTTTACATAACCGCCTGAAGCCATAAGTCTTTGACGCCAACCCATACCAGCTAATGAAGGTTGACTTGGTTTAGTTTCCAAACTAAACTTTGGTTTTGGTTTATCTTCAGTTTTTGGTTTCTCTTCTTCTATCGGTTTTTCGTCACTTTTCGGTTCCTTTGACTTTACCTCACTTGCAGGAATAGTTGTGTCGTCAACATCTTCATAAATATCATATGCCATTTGTTTTTGTTTTCCTTTCAACTTTTTGTGTTTGTTGTAAAGTTTAGAATATTTCGACTCTAAGTCAATGAGATGTTCTATAATGAACTGTTGGTCAGTGAAGTAAACTTTTCCATCTGTTGTCTCGAAAGCTCCTTCAGACTTCAATATTTTATTTGTGAGAGTCTGTTTCTTTTTTGAGATACTAGCCGTTCCATTTTTATGAAAAGTGACTTTGTAGTTAGGGTTTGTATTTCCAGACCTGGCACTTTCTATTATTGAATTTTCTCTTCATCTGTAAGTTCTTTGACAGGTTTTGACAATGGTTCTGAACTTTTTGTTTGTGGTGTCAAATCTACCGTTTCAACTTCTTCGGTCATTTCATCTCAGTAAAAAATTTTAGTTTGGTTTGTTTTCAACTGGTTGTTGTTGTTTTTTAAGTCGGTCTAAAACTTCCTGAGGTATAGGAAGAACTTGACAAACACGTTGTGTAACTGCTGGAAGTCGACAAATCCATCTTGAACCCATTTGTCTCAATGCTGTATTGTTCATTTCATCTCAGTAAAAAACTTTACATTCCCCACGTTTGAGGCGGTTGAGGTTGGTTATTGTTTACCCATTGTTTGTGCATGGTTATATCCTCTGTTAAAGAATCTTTCACCTTGGTCCATATAGTGTCCTGCTTGGTTATAGTAGTCATTTGCTTTGTTATAATAGTTTCCTGCTTGTCTTCCTACATTGTCCATCCATCCTTGAACTTTTCCTCTTGTTTCAGGATTTGGAATAAGATTTGTTGCATCTCGTGCTACATCCCAACCTTTCTGTACAGTTTGTATAATAGGTTGTGCTTTCTCTTTAAGTATACCTAATGTACTCAAAATCTTCCTTCCAACTCCAAATACACCTCTGGCTATTGTTCCACTGCGGGTAAAAATCTGGATGCAACTCCTGCTAACGCGCCAAATAAACCCATTTCTTATGGGTTAAAAAATGACGAATCCAAACAAGGACCCCATGTTTCTAAAGCGACAAAGAAAGCACTCATGGTAAAAATCTTTAGTTCAACACCAAATGCTTGGTTTATGGATATCTTGGAAAACATTCCGAGAGTTAGAACAGATGGACCACCATACTGGCTAATATTTGTCGGTCAAAACACAAGATACTGTGAAGCCATACCATTACAGTCCAAAAATATTTTAGATATCTTAGCAGCTTTGACAATATTTGTTGACAAATACCATCCAACAAAACTGACATCTGACTGTGAAAGTTCTTTCAAATCAGACGATGTAAAAAACTATCTGCGTTCAAAAAATGTAAACCAATATTTCATTGTCGACCAAAACCATTCTGCTCTTGGTGTCATTGACGGTTGTATAAAAATGTTAAGAGACTTAAACCAACCACAAGGTGGTGAAGCAAATGAAATGTCATATGACGACAAGTATAGACACTTCTCCATGGCAAAGATGAGACAAGTTTTAAATATTTACAATAACCGTAAAACAAAAAGGTTTGGGAAACCACTCCCCGAAGAAATGAAAAACAACCCTGACTTAGAGAAAGACTATATATTTAATAATTTAGTCAAAAGAGACAAACAAGAAAGAATGCCGGGCTTCAAACTTCAGAAAGGTGACAAAGTAAAAATAGAAATACCTAAACGACCCATATGAAAATACTATTGACTATGACAACAATGGGAACCCGACAGGTACTCACCTTCGTTTCGTAAAAATAGAAGAAAGTATACAAGAGAATATTATGAAGTTTTAGGCAAACATGGCAAAATGTACAGACTGCAAGCAGAAGATAAAACTACTATTGTCAGACCTCGTTTCAAACTTGTCAAAGTTCAAGGTGGTATACTTTCAAAGACAGTTCCTAACAAATATAAGACAACTCCTGACGAATATGCTAAAGAAGTTGAAAATGACGACTAAGCAATTCTATACCATGCGTAAACTGTCATGTAAGGTGGCATGTATTCTTTACTTTGTCCCGTTGTTTGCGTATATCCTGAAACGAAATGTGTATGGTTTCCTTCTCCCTGAGTGTCATCCCAGTAACAATTTATAGCAAACTTAACGTCGTCTTTAACATCATATCCTTTACCTTTTGTCATTCCTGACCAATCCCAATATCTATGCTTATGCCAACCTGCTTGAGATGTACTTAAATCTATGTAGTGACTGTGTGCAGGTAAATTTTCACCTGAAATCGTTTTACTTCCACCTGTTTCCTTTGAAGAGTTTGCACAATACAAAAACCTGTCGACTATTTGTTCCCATGCACCAACACCAAACATTACTTGAGGACCTCTTGCTTCCATAGATGTATAAATAGAACCTACTGGGTTCATTAAATCAAACATATGAGACATTACAGGATTGTCTCTTTTGAACTTAAAATATAGTGCAACTATTTCTGGTTTCTTCTGGTTTGTGTCAGAATATTTTTTATAATATAATCTTATGTTTTCAGGGTAGGTAAAATCTTGACTATAATATTTATTTCTGTCATCTGTATAATAGTATACTATTCTCGTTTTTTCTATTGCATTATATCTTTTATATCTATAAAAATCTAAATATAATGTTAGCTTTTGTTCATCTACATGTGGTGTTCTGTTGTCATCTCCATAGTCATAATAGTATGGTGCTGGAGCTGGGTCAGGCAATGTCATATCTGTCATTTCATAAACTCGGAAATATTTCTTTTGTTCGTCTCCATATAAGTTTAAGTAGCAGTTGTTGTCTAATGGAACTTTAACTTGTGTACCATCGTTCTTTTTATAGCTTACATACATTTCATTGTTATTTTTCGGAATGAGTTTATACCGTATACCATTTTTTAAGGAATGTACAAACTGCCATCTAAAATATTTGTTTTCTTCATTGAAAGAAAAGTCACCAACAATAGTTTCAATATTTTTTGTTCCAACTAAAGTTTGGTATATTTCATTGACATATGTTTTATCTGCTTTATTTTCAAGGCTAACGTTTAAGTCTGTTATTTCAGAAGATGTATGTGTATGTCCAACGTCACTTTTACTGTTTAAGGTTTCTTGTAAGTTTGCAATATTTGCAATGGTATGTGTATGTCCAACGTCACTTTTCCTGTTTAAGGTTTCTTGTAAGTTTGCAATATTTGCAATGGTATGTGTATGTCCAACGTCACTTTTCCTGTTTAAGGTTTCTTGTAAGTTTGTAATATTTGCAATGGTATGTGTATGAGTCTTTTTAGAATATTCGTTTTCAGCTCTTGTCACTTCACTTGACATTTTATTGTCAACATATGTTTTGTCTGCTAGTTCAGGATGAGTATGTTCTTTTGTTGCATAAGCTTTGTCAGCTCTTTCTTCTTCTTTTGCTATTGCATCGTCTACATATGTTTTGTCTGCTTTGTTGTCAACATCTGCTTTCAAAAGAAGTTCTTTTATAGGTTTCTCGTTTAAAGTTCCTTTTGTTGGATTTATACAAACAGTATGGTTCTTATTGTCTTGAAACAGAAACTCATCTGTCATTGGGTTTAAAGTCAGTTTTAAGTTTCCTTCTTTCAATGACTCAGATATCTTAGAATAGTTTGAAAAGTTTGTTGTGTTCTTATTTAGAGCTTGTATAATGAGTTGTCGGTTGTGTTGTATTTCTCTCATAGACGCTGTTTCATTTGACATTTTTATTCTAGATAAAATATGCTTTCAATAGAAAAAGAAAATTCAAGAGTTGCTACAACTAAACCATTAGATGAACTTTTTACTAATGTCGGTCAAAAGTTTGAGACAGAGACCGTAAAGCATGAAGGCTATCGTTTTGACTACCCATTAAGATGGTTAAGAGACCCATCTGTCACAAAAGCTATTGGCTTTCGTAGAATGAAGTTCATTTCAGAAGCCATACATGGTTTCCCATTTACGGTCGGTTTTGAAGTTCGATACTATAACAAGAAAAACGTATGTATGAGAAATTTGAACAGGGAAAACTTTTACAAGTTAGTTTGCTTGTAAACTTAGAAACAACTCTTCAAGCTTTTCAAGAAAAAATAAACAATATCTATATCGAATATGCAAACCAGTATAACATTGACGAGGGAGAGTACCATCTCGATATTATTTATGACAGGAAAAATGCAACTGTTAAAATCAATAGAATAGAAGACCTTGGAGAAAACGTTTATATTTCTACAAAATATAACAACTTGGCATGGTATAGATTTATGAGGATGTTAAATCAGCCTGCAGCATATCCAGTACACCCAGACTTTTATGAAGTCGAAAACCCTAATGGAACATATGAAAATGTTTTCGACCAAGATGCTGTGATAGTTCATGCTTCATTTTCTGGCGCCCAAAACTCTTTCTTATGCTTGGCAAATGACTTTTACGAAAAACCTACAAAGTTATACGAACCACCAAGTGGAAGTATTTCAGACTTTCAAGTATGGTTTACTACAGATGGAAGAAAAAGAATAATTCCATTATACCATGTGTTTTACTTAGAACTTAGTTTCATATACAACTACTATCGAACGGTAAAAATATAATTTTTTAATACGGTTGAGGTGTTGGATTTGGTTGCCAACTAGACTGTGGTGCAGGTTCAGGCTGTTGTATAACAGGAGCTTGTTCTTCTGGTTCAGGGTCTTTAGGTATAATACCAACAAACTGACCTACTCTTTTACCAATATTTTTGACTCCGTTCCAAATTCCTCTTCCTACGGTTTTTATTCCATTCCATATACCTCTTCCAACTCTTCTGAAGAAGTTTCCAATACTACTGAAGAAACCCATTTTACTATATGTAAAAATCTAATGTCCGCCTAGTCTCTTACGTTTCCTGTTGAGTTCCATAGCATTCTTTAACTGGAGCTCATACATTCTGTTTCTCCTCTGGTAGAAAACATATTCTGGGTCAACTCCTGTGTTCGCGTCATCTGCATAAAGTTGTTTATATCCCACTTCAGGGTTTGTATAAAACTCTTTCCATCTCATATTTGCATACCATGGTGGCAAACCTAACGCAGCGTCATTTGACATGGCAGTTTGCATTTGTACATCTGTTGGCACTTGACCATAGTTTGCCATTGCAGTTTGTATTCTAACTTCATTTGGAATATTCTCTGGGTTTGGTTGTCCAGGTTGCTGTGCATTCGCTAAGTTCTGTGCGTCCATTTAATATTAGATAAAAATATCTCTTACGAGTACATATACTGAACATTTGCAGGCATTGGTTCATCTTCATATTCTCTGTACTTTTCTGCCACGTCAAAGAAATAAATGACACAATGGAAAAAACCTAAAACAAGTAGTCCTATTTCAAACCACATTTACTTACTAATAAAATTTCGTTATTGTGACACTTTCTCCGGTTTATAGGACCTCTCTCATATTCTATCTTGTCATATCTAAACTCATAGTCATGTATGTCCTCTAACCATCTCATAACGTTTTCCAAACCACTTTTATCGGATGTAAAGTAAAAGCATGGATGGTTATGTAAAACGTCTAAAGTTTCTAAAGAGTCTCTCAAAGTCCAGTCTACTTGGTATTGAAAATCCCATGTGTTATAGAACGGCGGGTCCACTATAAAGAAAACATTTTCCTTGTCTTTATATTTTTCATACAACTCTGTCCAATGACATCTCACAAACTCTATACCCTCAATATATTTTTCTATGTCCTCTTTGAAAACATTTGTATAGTTAAGATATAAAACTTTTGACATAAGTGTTTCAATGTCATGAACTCTTATAGAACCACTATATAATAGTCTAGCAGATATACTATCCCAGTCTATATATTCTGCTTTTTTCAAAACCTCTCTCACAATATTTTTGTTATCTAATGGTATACGTTCCATCTTACCTATAGGTATCTTTTCTTTTAACTCTTTCAATATATTGTTTGTATCTGGTATATGTTTGAGACGGTCCATATAGTTGTCGAAGTCATTGCATATAATCTTTGAGTCTGGGAATATTGTATGACATAAATGGGATATATAGAAACTTCCACCGAACAAATCTACAAATGTTAGACCATTCGGTAGTTTCTTAAGTTCTCTCAATATAATATCTTTACATCTACTCTTATTTCCAAAGAACGGTAACGGTGGTTTTGTAAAATTCATTTATATATAATAATAAAAATGTTTTTACCTGAAAAGTGACAGAAAAGTGACAAAGCATGAAAACATATATAATTTGTGAAAAGTGAAACAAAAAGTGACATTTTTAAAAGTGACATCATTAATATGATGTAAATAACAACGGTTTTGGTTTTGTCACCGGCTGGTCGGCTGGGGTTCGGTCCTCCTCTTGGGTCTTGGGCAAAATTTCTTAGGGCTAGAAGGGGCGCAGCCCCTGGAAGCCCCTCATACCTGACCTAATTATTTATTGATAATTTTGCATATTAATATAAACCAAGAATAATATTTCTCGCACGTTTTTTCTCTCAAAAAAATTGAATTGCCTTTCAACTCCGATTTTGTGGGCATTTTTTTTTCAAAATGTTTCTTTCTTTTGTTTATGCTACTTATTGTGAGTGTCCATCTGGAGAATACACGGTTCCAAATACTAAAACATCAATTGATGAAAAGGAATTCTCGAACTGCAAAGAACTCACTCGCGTAATTATTCCGAATAGTGTTAAAACAATAGGTAACAATGCATTTTTAAGATGCACTAATCTTATAAGTATATCCATTCCAGAGGGTCTTACAAAGATAGGTGAATGGGCATTTGCTTATTGTTCTAATCTCACTAGTATTTCAATTCCTGATAGTGTTACTGATTTATATTTAGCAGCATTTTATGAATGTACTAATCTTATGAGTGTACAAATATCGATTTCTGCTAATTTTGATTATATTAGTGAAATTACATTTGCATATTGCCCAAATCTCACAGATATAACAATTCCTAACAAAGTTACTATTATTTGTGATAAAGCTTTTTATCATTGCGAAAGTCTCACAAGTATAACAATTCCACATGGTTGCTTATTCATTTTGGTTGCTTCATTTGCTTTTTGTACAAGTCTCACAAGCATAACAATTCCTAGTACCATAGTTACAATTCATGGAATAGCATTTGAATCATGTTCTAGCCTCACAAGTATAACAATACCCGACAGCGTTACTTCTATAGGCTCTTGGACATTTAAAAATTGCAAGAGTCTTACTTCTATATCAATTCCTAGTAAAGTAACTAAAATTGAAGAAGAAACATTTTCTAACTGCATTAGACTCGAAAGTATAATAATTCCTGATGGTGTAACTGAAATTGGTGCAGAAGCATTCAATAACTGCACTAAGCTAAGAATAATATCACTTCCTAGTCAAATTCGTATTCTGGATCGTTCAGTATTTTCACACTGCACTTCTCTAAAAACAATATCTATTCCTGATAAAATTTCCATAATTCCAAGCGGCTTATTTTATGAATGTACTAGTCTAACAACAGTATCATATCCAAATAACATTACTGCAATCAACGGTTTAGCCTTTTCTTATTGTTCAAGTCTTACAGATATATCAATTCCTAATACCGTGCAATTTATTGGCTATAGTGCATTTAGTAATTGTAAAAGTATAAAATCAATATCTATTCCTAATGGTGTTCCAGGAATTTATGCGTGGACATTTGATAGCTGCTATAGTCTCATTAGTGTATCAATTCCTAATAGTGTTACCGTAATAAGTTTGGAAGCATTCAAACGATGCTATAATCTTACAACAATATCAATTCCTAATAGCGTTACTTCAATTGGTCAAGGTGCATTTAATGATTGCAGAAAAATTACAACATTGTCCATACCTAATATTCCCATAATTATAGATGACACATTTAATGGCTGTTCAAGCCTTTCAAGTATATCAATTTCTGAAGGAATTACTAAAATTTTGCAAGGGGCATTTTCTGGCTGCACTAGTCTTACATCTATAACAATTCCCAGTAGCGTCACAGTTATTGGTAATTGGGCATTTTATGGATGTCGGAATTTATCATCAATAACAATATTCGCACGTAATAATATTACTATTATTGATAACAGAGCTTTTGCTAATTGTAATGTTCATGAATTAGTATTAATGAATGATGGTTTTCCAATATTAAATAATCAATATCTATATCAAAGTGTCAAAAAAATTATCTTTGACATGACAAACTCAAATCCAAGTAGACGACTTCTCGAAGGTTCAATTTTACCATCATTAAGCAATTTCACTAATTTGTCTTATGTTGAAATCAAATCTATTAATGGTTTTTCAATCCCTGATTTATTTTTATCAACCACAAATGTATCTATTATTGTCACACAAAACGGAATTTCCATTGATGAAAATGCTTTTTCCGATGCAAAAATCACAAATTTCACATATTTCAGAAATTCTATTCTACAAGACAATTTCCTTAAAAATTCTCTTTCTTGTGATGAAGTTATTGCATTGGATACATATCCATCAGATAAATTGGGCGGTCTCCCAATTACTAAAAGAGTTGCACAACCAATTCTAGCAAATCCAACACCAGAAACTCCAGTGACTCCTGAATCAGAAACCCCAAATCCTACACCAGAAACTCCAAATCCTGCACCAGAAACCCCAATGACTCCTGAATCAGAAATTCCAAATCCTACAAATATATCAACACCGAATGATAGCGAAGTCAATAATAACCAAAATAACAAACGTGGTCCATCAGTTGGCAAGACAATGGGAATTGTTTATGGTTCTGTTTTTGGTGCAGGAATATGCATTGCCATCATCATGATTGCTTTCAAGATAAAAATCTCTGGATGGTCAGATTCTTCATCTTCTTCATCTTCTGCATATGAATCATCTGGTTCAGGTGTTTATGTATAGGCCACGTTTTTTAAATCCTAAAACAGACCATATACATTAAAATCCTGCAGCGATGAAACCTTTTCTGTGCACCAATATTATTTCTATAGATTTGTGAGGAAAATAACATCACGTATGAAATTCATTTGAATGTAATGCATGTCGAACCAGATTTCACTGAAAGTTGTTCATTGTATCAAGTATTTTTTCCTGATCTAATCAAGTTCATTGTTTTGGAACTTTAGTACCAAATAATTTTATTCTTTTTTTTTGTTTTTGTTAAGTTATAAGTAAATATCATGTAATTTCTATATATTTATATAATAGTAGCATCTCAATCAATTTTGCATAAGATAATTCAATACTAATATAAATTATTTTCTTTCAATAAATAATAACAAAGAATTCATCTTTTATTGTCATATGCAATGAAATCATACCCATGTGAAATTCTTAAACGCTAATTTTGATGAAAATCTTAAAAATATCAGAATTTGTAATATTATCAAATAAAAGATACAGTTTATAAGTTAAATCCACCGTGCTCAAAGTTAATACCAAGATGCTGCTTTTCTGTGAATTGACGAGAAACAGTTTTGTAAGTTGCTGGGCGCTCGTATTCAGACATATCCATAGCGCCATAATCGTTATTTGTTGTTCTATAGATTGGGTGTTCTTCACGGAAAGTTCCACGAGATGTTAATGTGGAGAATCTGTCTGGAACTTGGCCTTCTGCTGCTAGTTTTTCTTGAACACGAGCTTCAATCCTGGCAAGGTATGTTTCTTCATCCTCATCAGGCTTTTGTCCAGGAAGTCTATGAGTACTCATTTTTATACGTTACAGGTGATATTTGGGGAAAAATGGTGAAATAACCCTTTTTATTTATTTCCACCTTTTATTCCTGAGATTCTTTTAATTTTCGAGGGTGATGCAATAATGCAAAGCAGATAAATCAGGGACTTGTTTTGGTGTATGTCAAATGAAGTTAAACTTATTAAAAAAATAATAAATATAGTTTATCATAATAAAAAACATTACTGATTGCGTAAGATTACAGTCTTCTTACTATTCCATAAGGATCTATCTAACTTATCAAGCTCTTGCTTCATAACTTTCTTTTGCTCCTCTGTATAAATAATCTGTTCTTTGAGCATTCTTGACTGCTCTTCAGCCTTATAAAGCTCTTGTTGAAGCATCTGAAGCTTTTGTTGAGTATTTTCTATTTCACCACGCATAGCAATAGTTCTCTCATGTGAGGCATTAATTTCACTTCTAAGCATTTCTGCTGTTGAAGATGCTTCTTGCATTCTGTGTGCATAAGAATCATCAGATTTAAAGGACTCTTTACGAGTTCTTTCAATAGTTGCAGTAATTTGGGCTATTTGATTGTCAATAATGTTTTCATTGGTCTGGCTTTCTTCCATAGCTTGCTGTATATCAGCTTGATGCTTTTGGATAAGATCATCCAATACTGCTTTGAGTTGTGCAATTTGATTGTTGTGTTCGACTTCTTTGGCTTCCATAGCTTTTATAGATGATGCAATATCTGAGCGAACTTGTAACAAGTCGCGTTTTCTCTGTTCCTTGACTTGGCTGAGTTCAAATTCAAGTGCCTGAATTTCAACTCTTAACTCTCCACATTCTGTCTGTATTTCTCTCATTTCAGCATCAACTTCCGCTTCTTTGTTCGCAAGATCGGCTTCATGTTCAGCTTGAAGTCTTTCGAGTTCGTATCTTTTAGCTTCAATTTCGGCTTCTTTGATTGCAGCTACTGTATCAACCTGTGTTTTCGTCCACTTCTTGGTGTTCTTTTGACTCCTCATAAGTTCTTTTTGGAATCTCTTAGCTTCATAATCCTGTGCTTTGTAAATTTGATCTAAATCGACATTATTTTGAGTAGCAAATCCACCAAATGATTGTTCACTTCCACTCATAGCATCAGAAAATCCGGATGCTGTATCAAAAGATGATGATGAAGACATTTTAAAATTTCTAAACGTACATCAAATTATTTTTTACACGTCTTCAAACTTCTCAAATATATATAATTCTTTCATTCAAAGAAAAGATTATTATGATTTTTTTATTACTTTCATAAGTTTAGTTGAGAAATCAAAATTTGAAAATTTTAAAATGGTTTTTATTAAACAATAATCTACAATTCATTTGAAAGATAGTGATCGACAGGCAGCCAAGAAGCCTCACCTGAATAAATTGATTCCAAAGTTGGGCCAACGCTGCTCATACTGTCAACTTTGATGAGCATCTCTGTCTTCGGATTGTAGATCCAGCAATTGGCCGTTTTAAGGAATTTCCAAGGAAGTTCTTTCTTTCCTTGGAACCAAACGTAGTTCATACTTGCGTATTTATCGCGGAGTCTGTTCCAACCTAATTGGTCTGTATCCTTTGTATAAATTATGCATTTATGAACACCGCCGATGCAATGTTTTGAAAATTCGGTGGAATCAAGCACAACATCAGGAATTTCGCCTGGTATACGAAGTTGCTTATCGATAAATGCATTAAGATCACGCTGTATTTGACGGAATTCGATCTTTCCAACGTATGTATAGTTAAGAGTTGAATTCATGAAACGAATTTCAGGTGGATTGGCTTGGAATTGCTTTATCAAGTCTTTGCTATGGGTAATTCCTATTCTAACTTTACGATTTCCATGAAATGAATTTGAAAGGCCCATCCAAAGGTTTGGAGTTGCTTCTTTTTCTGTAAATAGTACAGCTAACGATTTAGTGGAGTTCTCCAGCCAAGTTGGATCGAATTCGTGAGTATAATCATGCAAATATTCAGAACAAAAATTAATAATGTCAGATGGCTCTCCATCACCGACATATTCTGTTTTACCTGACTCATGGAATACCCAAAATGACGGAACCGATTTGGCAACAAACTTTCTAGCTGTTAATGGGTTTCTCTTAGTGTAAACAATGCCAAATCTGAATATTCCCTCGGCAAGATTTGAAGCTTTAATAAACTTTGGAAATGCCTCATCTGAAAATTTATTTCCTTCTGTATGAAGCATGATAACCCAAATTTCTTTCTTATTCTTCCTTTTTTCAACAAATTTCGTGAAATAGCTATCTGTAAGTGTTTTTGCGTATCCAACCTTTAGTTTTTTCTTGTTTTGCTCTTCCGCAGTAGCAAGCAAAAATAAGAAACTCAACATGCAACCAAATAAAATTTGAATGTAAAAGGCAAACGATCATCTTCAATTCAAATTTTAAAATCTTTATAAATTTCCAAAATCGATATCAAATATTGCAAGGAAATTACAACGCGTATTTATTCCACAATGAAAGAGATATCCATAATATATTGAAACAACGTATCCCTTCAAAAAGCCTATATTTCAACAGTTTCTTCTTGATTTTTTGAATCATTATCAGTATAATCAAGATATACGAGAATATTAATGCAATGAATTTAATAGAAAAGCATATTTATACATGTTTTAAAAAGAAGTACTCTATAAATTTGATCAATAGAATAATAATTTATTTTATTAAACTAAATAAGGATAGAAATGCTATTTAAACTAAATAAAAAGGAAAAGTTAAATAGTTACTGTCTATTACATTGCTTCTTGATGATTACATTTTGTAATAGCAAAGTAATCAGCGACGAAACTTGAATTGAGCCTCCGATAAAAACAGAAGCATAGTTTGTAATGATTTCGCGCTCCTTTTGAGTTGTATTCGGGACTTCCATGATGACGGCAAATACTGACATGTAACTGATTGCGCCGAAGAATCCGATTAGGAACAATGGAATGAGCATGTATATTGGCGCAATGAATACTACAATGGAATTGACGAGCATGATGACAAAAAGAACACCGGTAATTGCAGTTGTTATTTCTAATTTCTTAATTAGGAACCATTTCTTGATTGAGCGGCCAATAAGACCACCACATTGATAGCCAAGGGAGAAGTAGCCGAAAATGAATGGTTCATCAATTCTCTGCTGCTTCGTCATTGAGCAGTCTGTAAGACAAATGAGAGAAACATATTGGAAGCAGAACATTGCGAGATTGTTCAATATAAAACGAAGAGACTTGTACCAGTTTGAGCATGAGCAGAAAGGTACTTTGTCTTCGCTGTTTTCATCTTCGTCGTCTCTTTCAATTTTCTCGATATCTTCAAGTTTTTCTTGTTCTTCTTCTTTTGGCTTTGAAGTATCGACGTTTGGATTTCTGAGCATGAAGTAGAAGATAAGAGGATATAAAATTCCTGCTGGAGCCATGCAAATGAAGGATAAAAAGTAGAAAACTTTGAATTTTTGACAGATAAGGGAATAACCAGCTCCACAAACACCAGAAAGGCCAGTTCCAATACCCCATGCGCCAAGTAAGGCATCGTTATCAAGTGATGCAAAATATCCAAGCATAACACCCTCGCCAAAGTCGGATGAAACACCGACAAATGATATGAAAAGAATAGCTACGAAGATGTTTGGCGAAACTGCTGTACCAATAAGACCAACAAACATAAATGCACCGTTAATTATTGATCTAATGTTGTAAGAAACGTTTTTACTTGTGAGAAAAGCATTGCCAATTGTAGCAAAGATTGATAAAATAACAATTCCCCAAGATACAGCACCGATGTAGCCGTCTTTATTAAAATGAGTACAGACAGCCTGGGCATTAGCATAAGCAACCCAGTATGGAAGATTGTTAATTAAACCAATAAGCAACATTCCAATGTAATTAATAATTCTCCATTTCTTTGAGGATGGTTGGGTTTCAACTGGCTCCATATTATCAGGAGTTTGTTCAAGCGCCGGGGCTTCGACTGGATTGCCGTATACATCAACTGCTCCACTCGTCATAATTTGAGTAACCAAAATACGAGTTCAACCTTTTTATAGTTCAAAACATGCTTTCAATTTGCTTGTTATGATTATTACTAAAATTTATAGTTGTTCAGATTTATGCTGTGAATTATTGTTTTTGAACGTTCAATTTAAATTCGAAATCAACAAAATCTTAATTATATCCAATAAATATACATGTTTCAAACAAATCAAATTGAATAGAGGAGTTTGGTCTTCTCAAATTTTGATAAAATTTAACCCGTTTGGAGAATAATATTTTTTCTGAAATTCCACGAATACATTATTGCTCGCGTTTCATTTTGTTTGAAATAAAACGGATTATATCGATGAAACCCGTAAAAATTCAGATGATTTCTCATCCAAATGTCACGTATTTATCCGAATAAAAAGGTGAGGGAAAATTCTAATACGTTGAATTGCTGGAATAATGGTCTGATCCTCATAAATGATCGGACTTGAAAAATTGAGAGCACATATTTGCTATTCAAACTGTAGCGTCATTAACCCTTTTTTAAAAAGAGTTTACCTCTGAGAACATATGGGCATCCAAAAACAGATCAAATACAACATATATTCTTTATTAATGATATGCTTTTCAGTTTCCCATGATATTTTGAAATTTTTAGTGCTTTAGCATAGTTCATCTTTTATATTTAAGTTTTATTAAGATAACATGTCTTGAAATCATACTTTCAATTGGGTTTTCTCTTATCAACAAATCATAAATGATAGGAAAATAAAGAATTCCTTTAAATAAGGTAATGAAGCTGAGAACCTCATCAAAGATTTCTTCATGAATAATGATATCAATCATTAATCAATATTTTTATATTTGTAAAAAAAATTCGAGATTAAAATTGTTAAGAACTAGAAAAATCGTTTACACTTACGCTAACTAAAATAAAAACAAATAGAATAATTACTTTCTTTTTTGAATTTGAAATACATTTTTCACTTTTGTGCTCTATTCTTGAAATCTGTAATTATTTTGTATGTTTCTTCATTAGTTGTTGCTTCTAAGTATCTTTCAAGATGTAATTGATATGGAATATGATACAAACAAACGTTATTCCAAATGATCTTGAATATTTCATCAACACTAAAATTGTACAGATTTTTCAATGCAAAATCAAGGCATGCCTTTGTTAAAAATGTGACTAAAAGCAAATCTTGCTGATTCGTAGAGTTGAATAACTTGAGAATGTCATAAAATTCAGTTGGATCTATCTCATGTGGTTTGCTTGCTAATATCTCAAGAAGGCCGCCGATTTTATCCATTATGAGAAAAATATGAAAAGTGACTAACAAAAAAGGTGACAATCATGACTGAGAACGAAAATAAACCATGGACAGCAGAAGAAGATGCCTTCTGTGTATGGTGTTTCTTCTGTTCTCCAGTCGCATCTTTTCCAAATTTGACAGATATTCCAGGATCTCATACTCCTCAACAGATTTTGGAACGTTTCTTACAGTTAATGAAGCAACCATTGTTATTAGAACGTGTGAAACAGTTTTGCAATAACAATATTTTCCAATTTCGTGGACAAATACCATTCACTACTGTTGAAGATTATTATCTAGTAAATTCTTTACGTTTAGAAAACACATCAGAAGCCTCTGATGTGACTAAAACATTCGGAAACTACTTCCATATAAGTCGAACTCTTGCACAGTTAAGATCCAGACAGTTTGCTCTCAGTATTTCGGGAAAAAGTTTATATCAAACTCAACTTGACGATTTCATCAAATTCAAGAAGGAAATTCTCAAAAAATACACTGAAGATCAACTCACGCAAATAGCTAATACAGTTGATCAATTAACACCATATTTCTTATCACATGCTGTCAACATTCCTTTCATGGAAGAATTGACCAAAGTGCTAGATGAAGTTGATAAGAAAGTACAGAGCGAATTTCAGAGAGGAGAATACGCTGCATTACTTGGAAAATTAGGTCCACATAAAATTACGAAACCTAAGACTCTTATTGGTCGTAATTCTCAGTTCATCGGTGTTGATATAGACCTTACTCCATATCATATTCAAACTATATCACGTAAGCATGCCTCCATTAAGCTTTGCACCGATTTCAATTATTATATAGAATGTCTCGGCTCAAATATTATAATTAATGGAAAATTATTACTTCCTGGTGAGGTAGCTAAGCTATCCCATCGCGATATTATAGATATTGGTGGTTGTTTATTGTTATTCCTTCAAAACAATCATGTTCATGAAGGTATTAGAGAAAATATGAATAAAGAATAAATATTTGTTATAAAAAAATCAATTATTTTCCGTTTATTGAACGAGAGTAGAATTTAGACCAAGATCTTAAGGTATTCCTCAGAGCAGTTACGAGCACGCTTTGTGAGGGTGATCTTCATATCGGAAAGTTCCTTATCGACATCTGTTAAGAATGTGATGATGAATTCGATCAACTTAGATAAAATCATTTGTTCTGTGTGAATATTTGTAACAAGGAAGGAAATATCATATCCCTGAATTGGTTTTCTGCGGATAATGCGGAACTGATCAGCACGCTGAGCAAGGAAGCGCATGAACATTTTAGCAAGAAGTCTGTCGACATCATCGATCTGCTTTACTTTGACGGAAATACGAACGCTATTGATTGCTGTTTCGATATAGATTTTTTCGTATGGAGAACGAGAAATAAGAAGTGGGCGTGCAATGACTTCTGGTGTCTTGCCGATTTCAATTTCTGGCTTGTTTTGGCGCTCAATTTCTTGAGAAGCGAAATTACGAAGGCAAAGTGAAGCCTGAAGTGTTCTGCGAATTGCTGCAAGGTATGAAGCTAATGGATTCGCCATTTCCCCAGATTTAGGTGTGAAAAAGTGGCAAAATTTAATAGTTTATTTTGCAATCGGTGATGTGACATGAACAATATGCCCCATGGGACGATTTAGGAATTTTAGGGATTTTGAAATGAAAACTATAATATTTCATATTATTTATAAAGAAAGGGCTATTTGATATCGTCTTTGCATTTTTCTTCAATTCCTGTCCAAGATCAGTTATTTTTGACAGTTAAATATTAATATGCGTACCATCGGATTACCGATTTGACAAATTATATTAGAATTTGGATAAAAGATTTTTTTGAGATTGAATTTTGATGAGCTTTTCAACATTTGATATAAATTTTACCATTTTTAATTATTGTGTGTGCATGTTGAAACGATTAGATCCACTGAAAACACTATTAATGCTCAAATTCATTAATGTTCAATAAAGAGCAATTAGTGTACAAATTTGAAGAAGAAGATGACATTCAATATCACTGTGAAAAGAATCAGGCCGTGAAATAATATTATTTTTCAGAAATTGCAAAACAGTCACGTCCTTATGTGATCTTTATAAAATATTTCATGGTTTATCCAAACACATAAAATTTATGGGGAAATATAACGAAAAGATCATAAAAATAACAATTTTTAATCAAAATACAAAACAATTCATGCCCACATCGGTATCACAGATTTTCTCATACTTGAACTATATAGAACAGATTTCTTTTTTGAACTGGAAACCGATTTCTTCACCGAATTCTTCACCGAATTCTTCCTTTTTGGAGTTTCATAGAAAGATATCGGCGAGTCATGAATATTGAGTGGAATCGCTCCACCTAGTTTAAATACCCTTCTTGCAGCAAGAGTTGCAATAAGAACCGCTCTGAATGTTGGCTTTGCAACAGATCTTGTATTTAATATTCTTTTATCGAATTTGACCATTAAATTCTTTTCTGTTCTGAGCATATCTGTCCTGAAGAATATCGATTTATGAGATACACTTGCTAGAAGAGCTTCTTCTAACACTAATCTCATTTCATCATTAGACATATTAAGTGAATCCATATCATTTATAACTGAATATATTCTTCTTGACCAGTTTTCCCATGCTCTAAGCTGCGAGAGTTGGTTCTCAGATTTTCTAATTTCTTTCCTAAATTTATCAACATCATCTTGATTTTGTTTATATTTCTTTGTTGAATCTTCCAAAGAAAGTTTCAGTTCATCAATTTGCTTCATCATATTTGAAACAATTTCGTTTAACTTGAAATCATTAGTTGTAATTCCCAAAACATTTTTAGTTTTCTCAAATTCTTCAAGGAGTTCTCCATATTGAATTTCCTTTTGACTGAGCTGAGAAAGCTCTTTTTGAACCAAGTCTACAGCTTCACTTAATTCATGAATAATATATCTTCCGCCAAACAATTCTTGGAAGCCATTCTTTGTTTCTTCAATAACTTGTTTGAGGGAAGATATGATGTTAGCATTCTCCATTTGAGCAGCGGTTACTTGAGCTGTTATTCTTGATTGAATATTCTGCTGGTCTACAAGACTTTTACCTTCAAACATTTTAACCTTCATTTCCAATGTTTTATTTTCCACTCTTAATTTGGAGTTCTCTGATGTCAATTGCTGGCATTTAGACTGTAAATCCATCATACTTGCTTGTTGGTTCTCAAGTTCTTTTAAGGAAGCTTCATATTGAGATTGCAATGAGTTTATAGTAGCTGTGTAATTTTCTTTCATTGCATTCGATTGTTTCTCCATTGTGTCAGCAATATTTTTATTAGATTCGACAGTCTGGTCTAATTTACGTTTTAATGCATTTCTCTGTTTCTTTGTGGTCTCAATTACTTTCTTATCCTCTTCGACTTGTGAAATTAATGCTGCCTGTTTTTCATCATTTTGTTTCTTTTCTTCATTGAAAAGCAAAATCTTATCTTGTAATACTTGCATTTGCCTTTCAAAGTCTTCTTTATTCTTCTGTAACTCAGCATTTTTGTCTTCAACTGTTTTAGTTAATGCCTGAATTTCATCTGTGAACTTAGTACATTGTTCTTTAATTTGAGCTAACTCCTCCTGAGCTTTAGCTAATTCTGTTTTTGTTTGCTTTGAAAGCTTGGTTGATTCTTTATTTGTCTTATTATTGTCCTTCTGAGATTTCTTCAAGTAAAGCGCTAAGGCATCTCTCTCTTTAGTAACAGTATCAAGTTCTTTCTTTAACTTTTCTGCCATTTCAACAGCAGCATTGGATTCTTCTGTTGTGTTCTTTACTACATTCATTGCACGCTTGATTAACGTTAGGGTTGGTGTGACATCATCAACTGGAACAAATTTGGATAAGAAATTCCTGATCTTCATGTACTTTCTTTCTAAATCTTCAGCCCTGAGTTTTACTGGAACAATATCCTTTTCTCTTGTCTCTTGTAACAATTTCTTAAGTGATGTATTTTCTTGGCCAATTCTTGCGACTCGAATATGCATATCTGAGATGTGATTCTTTAGCAAACAATTCATAAACAGTTGAGCCCTGAACAAATCAAATATTTCACGAATATCAACATCAGTTTTCTCTCCAATTGAGCTTAGAACTTTATTAAGGAGATTATCTGGTTCATCAGTATTCAAGAGATCGAAAACTCTGATTGTTTCAGTAGAATCGCTTGTGTTCATGATATCTTCAATCTTGGATTGAGAAAGATTAATGAAAGTTTCGTCAACAAACTTCCTCAAATTAGCACACTTTCGCATCAAAACTGTTTTATCATCATCTGATAAAATTACCGATGTTGCAGTTTTTTCTTTGTATAAAAGTGCATTTTGGAGGTCTGTGCTATGTGAAAGCTTTTGTAGGAAGTCAAGTTGTCCTTCAAAAAGAGTTAAAATTTCAAAGCATTTCTTTTGATAAGTTTGTGATTTCTTTTCAAAATTAGCCTTGTCTTGCTCATATTGAGAGCATAATTGTTTTTCTTGCTTATAGTTTTCTACAAGGAGTTTGGTAATGCGCATAATTCTCTCTTTTGGTTCAAAATTAGAATCGTCTCTTATTGATTTATATGGATTTGAATCTGTTTTGATACATTCATCAATTATTTTTATCATAGATGCTATGATTTGATAATGTTCCTGAGATAAGTCTGGTTTCTGTTCTATAATTTTTGGAATTTCTTTCTTAACTACTGGTTCGGGTACTTTTGCTTTCATACACGATTCTAATTTTTGATACAAGTTGGTCTGCTTATTGCAAATGGTGATAAGATCAATTCTCTGCTTACCTAAATTTTGCAAGTCTTGTATTTGCCCTTCCATTATATCCTGCATCGATGTTAAGGAAGCCTTAAGAGTTTTAATTTCCTCCTGAAGTGTGTTGTTAGTATCTTTCAAAGCATTGTTTTGATTTGTTAGGTTTGTGCATAAATGTTCAGCATTTGAAGATTTGCTCTGAAGATCTGCAAGCTGGAATCGTAACTGATCATTCTCTGATGTTAATTTAAAGTTTGTACTTTGTAGATCTTGAATCTGCTTGTTTAATTTTTCTTGAATCATATTAGTTTTATTTTTTCTTTGCAATAAGGTAGAAACAATATCTATGATGTCATGAACACTATTTGCTGTAACATCAAACTTTTTATTGAAATCTTTTAAAAATGAATTTATTTCTTGAGAATAATTCTCATCATTAAGCGAAGTACTAAGCATCATAGTATCTATAGAGTCTGAGTATTTATCTGAACGTGGAGTGCTTATTAATGAAGGAGATAACGATGATGTTGGTGTTGAGAAAGTGCAATCAGCAAGTAACGAATTTATGCTTTGGGTTGATGGTGTTGATGGAGCTGGAGATTCTGCAAGCTCGGAAACTGTTTTAACTAATTTTGTCGTGCTTGAAGAGCTTTCAGACATCCAATTTTTAAACGTGCGAGATTTTTATTTTTTGGATAAATTAGCAATTAGACCTAGCACGGTAAATAGTGTTGTATTGCATAGTAATTTTTTGCTCAAATTTTATGTATTGCTACTCAATTTTTGATTTCATTTGAAAATAACGAAAATTCTTCGCAGTTAGTTGATAATTCAACTATATATATGCTTGATAGAAACAAGATTATATTTTTAAGTATCAGAATCGATTAATTAATTTTTCTTCGATATTTTGAAGATTTGGTAGGTTTTTTGTTAACTAATTATGTTTTATGCATTTCCAACAGTTAAATGCATTACCATTTTGCATATCTAGTATTGATTTTTATTATTTACTCACTCAGGAATTTCTGTTTTTTTCACCGGCAAAAATTTGACAACTCAAATATTTTTTTAATGACTGCAATTCCTAAGGAATTTCAAGATTATGCTCATTATTTTTATTCAGGATTATGCTTAGAACCGATTAACAAATCAGCTGCTATTGTTTTGTATCATGTATTCATTGACAGTTGCAAAGAAATTGATTCTTCCACTGGTGAGACGAAAAATTTTATCAAGTTATTCACCGAAAAACTACCTAAATTCCCTGTTGACGGACCACGAGAAGTTGAATTCGTAGCTAACGAATTATATGGAGCACTTCAGGAAAAGCTTAGCGCAGGCATTATTAATTCCCATATGCCGGATCAATTCGTTTTATGTTCTGTTTTATATTCAATTGTTGAAGGCGAACAAGCAATGTCTCGAGAAATCAAATGCCATCTCGCCTGCTCAAAGCTCATTCGTCTTTTACAACAATTTACTCCGCCAAAAAAGGAAGAGGATGCTAAACCAGAGGCAGAAAATGAAGAAAATAAGGAAATTATTGAAGAACAACCTCAAAAAGAGGATGTACAAGAAAGAGTCTACCATATTGATGTCAGCAAGCCTATCTTACAACAACCTCAGCTTGGAGAATCCTATAATGCCACTGAAATTCGTCAATATTTCAAAGATATCGGCATTCCTATCCAATCCGGTATTACTCATCCAACTAAAGTTCACCAAGCAATACAAAAGAACCTTGATCTTGGAGCAAGCTGCATTAAAAACGGTGATCGAGAATTAGGCCTTTCTTACTTAAGAACAGCACAAAAAATCTGGGCTACAGGTGTCCCTCAGTAATTTAGTTTTGATCAGCTCCAAAACATTCCTTTCTTTCAAAAATTTAAAATAATTTAACAAAAAAACAAGTCCAATACAATTCCTTACAATATGACATATTACTTACAACTGGATTTACCAACAATATCTAATTTTTTTTAATATCCAAATTGAATTTTTATCAATCAAATTTTCAACAAAAAATGTCATTAGCTGGATTTGTGAATTAAGAAGAACAGTTTATTTTTTATACATACAAAAAAAAGAATGTTTTTATTTTTTTGTTTGTAGAATAAACCGCTGATTCAAGAGTTTTTGTCATCATGTTTCGATATAATTTAAGATAGGCATCAAAATATAGGTCAACTGACCTTGAAAAAAAAATTATAATTTTTTTTTGTAAATTTTTCATTCTTTCATTAAAATTTGTTATGTAATATTAAGAGCCTATGTCTAAAAATGCATTAAACGTTGTAGTAGAGCTGTTGCGGTCCTAAATTACTTAAAATGGGGGATGTAATAGCAGAAGTTATGTTACTTGATTTAAGATCACTCCAGTAAGGAGCTGAAGTATACTCTGAAAGACCTAGGGTTCGAACTAAAGTAGAAATTTGAGGATCTTCTTCAGCGACAGGTTTATACTTTGGTATTTCATTATTTGGACATATTTGCTCAAAGTACTTTGATAATTTTTCATTTTTCTCCTTTTCTTCTTGAGATATTTCTGGTTTTGGAATTTCAACTTTTCGCTCTTCTGGTTTTGGCTCTTGATGTTTCGGAACAACTTTTGGCTCTATCTTAGTAGCATTTGTAGTCGCATGTGGTGGAGCTTCAGCATAATCGCTGTTTGAAAAATTGTCAACAATTTTACTATTTTTTTTCGGTTTAAATGACGGTTGCATAGGATTTGATCGAAGGCTTTCTATATTTTCCTTTGAGAAATAATTTTGCTTTTGTTCTGGACGATATTCATGAGGTGGAATTTGATATGGTGGTGGAGGACCTCTTAAAACAGGATTTTGTATAGGAGGACTATGGGGGATCATGTAATTAATTCCATATGGTGGTGGCGCTTGGTAGTTTGGCGGAGGATTGTGGTATTCAGGTGATCCTTGATAATATACTGATTTTAAATAGGAATCTGTTCGTCTGTCTTCAATTATGGGTGGAGGTGGCCGAGGAGGCATGTCTCGAATATAAGGTGGATTTGCCATATATGTTTAAAAAGTGACAAAAATTCTAAACATCATTTTTATAAAGAAACTGCATCCCATTTGATGATATACAAATATATGATCACAGAACATTTTCCACCACAAACTATCTACTTTTTATGATTTAATTGTGCTTCATAAGAAGGAAAATGTAGAAGATGATCAAAAATCCTCATTGTCTGGGTATAAATATATAAATCTGTTGTGATTATGTGTGGATTATCACGTTCTGTCTGTGCCAATTTGCTTGATGTTTATAATCGAATGATTGAAAAATGTTTTAGATCATTCATACATTCTTTGGATTTCTGGTTTCTTAAACAAATTTCCTCTTAATCAACCTGAAACAAAAGCTTAAATATTCTCAAATTTTCAATAAAAAAAATTCTTCTAGTTAGTCCAATTTATATAAGCTGTCGCGATTGCATTCTTAAAAGGACGAAGAAATATGTGATTAATTAATAAAGAACGTAACAATCAAATTTTTATTCAGCTGCTTCATCTTCCAATGGTTTGAAACAAGATGGTTCCTTTGTAATTAGCTGCTCAATAAGACCAGCAAATGGAAGATTTGGATTTTGTTTTACAAGTTTCAAGACTTTCTCAATTTTCTGACGATTTGCGTCGCATTCTTCTTTCATCTGTCTGCATATGCGAAGTTGTTCAAGCTGAGCTTCTTGTAGACTGTTCCTCTGTTCAATTAAGAAATGACATTTCATTGCAGCTAATGATAAATTATAATTTAAAAATGAGCGTTCATCATTCTCATCATAATCTACAAAAGAGCACCAGTGTAATGGAGATTGGATTCCCCATGCAATAAATAAATCTCTGACTTTTCTTAATTTGGATTTCAGACGATTTCTTGGAGTCTTCCAGATATTTGGCATGCTATGCAATTCTGGAACATAATGAGCTGTCAGCTCAAATATCAATTCCACTGGATGTGGTTTTTCTCCAAGACGCTTAATTCCATCAAAGCCAAGTATTTCGTCAACCCAGCCAGCATTTTCACGAGAAACATAAGAATAGCGACTTGGTGGTAATTCTTTAACTTCTTCTTCCGGAATAGTTAAGTCTTGTTCGGTTTCATTTAAATCATCGATATTCTGTGATTCATGTTCTGATTTACGAGAGATATTTTGTGATTTATTCTCACTATGTTCATCCCTGCTCTTTGTACTTGGTTCTTTAGCTGCTACTGCTTGTTCTGACATATGAATATTAATGCTAACGTAAACGTTTGAAACTATTATTTAGGGGGTATCTCCATTATCTTTGATATTTGCTTGTTATGATAAATACGAATAATAAGATTAAAAATCACTGTTAATTTTGAAATATTTTAATCTTTGAATGATATTTTTCATCATATTCTTTCGCCTAATAGGGAGACAATGTGCCAAAAACTTATTCCTTAAGATGAAGTGGAACGATACTCAATGTCGAGAGATTTTAACAGGCCAAATCATCAAGTTCTGTTTGAAAATGTATCCATTATTTAACAGATTACCGCAATTGATCAAAATAGCATCACAAAATAGAGCTGTTAGCTTAAGTTTACCAACATGGATTGTAAATTTCATTATTGACAGTACATATGTTTCGATAAATTGGGAATACACTCTACTAGAAGGATATCCAGAAATTTGTGGAGTATTAGAAGATTTAGTAATACTCACATACATTGCTTTGATACGAAAGAAATTTATTATATGGAAAATATCAATATTAACGTTTTTCTTTGCTTATTTTCTGCACATCAAAGGCTTGCTTTCTAACGAATTATATCTTTTTTGTTTAACCGTTTGGGAATACTTCGAAGTCCCTCCTCCATATTTACAATTATTTTCTTTATACAAAGCGAATCAAATCGGTAGTTTGTCCTTTATTTCAATATTTTTAGAGCTATTTACGTCGATATTGAGATTGAGAGCTTCTATTATTCAAACAATGCACTTACCTCGCGTAATTATAATAGCAATTCGCCTTTTAGGCTACCTTTTGCTTTTTGTTTATATGTTGTATATTAGATTAAGATGGAAGAAAATAGTTGATCCCCATAAACGTACAGATTAATTTTTCATATTTCTTGATTTTATACTATTCAAATAAAAATCACTCTTGTTTGCTTGTTTTTTATTAATTTCTAATCAAAACTTCTTTTCAATAATAATAAAATTCTACGACTCAGAAAATGATGCGATCCAACTTTTTGAAATTGGAGTCGCATTCATTTTTTTTTTCCAGTTTTGATGAAATTATCTACAAGGGTATAACTTTTATTAAGCAACTGGAGGAACTCCTTTTCTTATCTTCAGCTTCATGACTCAAGAACAGTACTCAACAGTCAAAACAAATAACCTAATGAATAAATTTTGTTAATGATTTGACATTACAAACAAGAATTCGATCTGTTCAGAAGAATCTTTTAAACGTGTTCATTTTTCTTTAAAAAAATAAAAATACAAATGAAAAATTCAATAAGATTTAAGGGTGCACACGAGAGGATCATGTAAACTTCAGAATTTAGAACCTTATTTTTAGGCATTATCTTGGCTACCTATTTAGGCTCGAAAAGCAAAAAATATCAAAAAATACAACTTGACTCCATTATGACCCTTTCATGGAGGTAGTTTTTATCCGCTAGTATTTTCCCTTTGAATCTCTTTACAATTCGAAATCAAATTCAAAACTCAGTAGAAGAAAGGAAGAATCGACTTACTACGGTTGTAATACGAATAAATACATATATTTAATTATTTTTATTTACATAATAATTGTTTGAAGCTCATATTCCATCAAATTTTTAAATAAAAACATTAAAATGTTGAAAATGTTCATATATTTTAATAGGTTTTTGGCACTTTATTGAGGAATTACTACATACATAGTCGAACTGAACTTGATATTTTGAAATTTAAATTATTTATCAAAATTAAAATTTAACTAGAAATTTATAATTATTTAGTCATATTTTGCATAATTCTAAGTAGATTTTGTAAAAAATCAAGAAAGAAAAATTTTAACGTGCTTTATTTTTTCTTTTTTATAATGTTGTAAACAGAAATTCATCAAAAGTGACACCTCAGAAAAGCTAAAATATTGAATTTTTGGAACTTTTGATAGAGCACGTTTTTAAATATTAATTAAAGTAAATGTATATTTTGTAAAGATTCTTTTTAATAAAAAAAATAAAATTTTGAAGAAGAACACAAAATCTTCTGAAAAATAATATCACATAAACTCATATTATTTTCTAATATATAACTATTTTATATAAAAATCAAATTCATTGATCTTAAAAGCGAAGGATAAACCTCAAAATTTACGAATATAATGAGTGGGAATATAATGCTTATCTATCATAAAACCATATGAAATATCAATTTTTGCTTTACGCCTAATTTTTGACGACAATTAGCAAAAAATGTTAAATGTTAACACTCAGTCCATTTGAATATGAAAAATAAAATTGACTTTGATTACATGTTTTTATTTATCATGCAATTCTTCTTGCGACCAAAGATTTGAATAAAAGTTCAAAAAATAAGATAGCTTAAAAAATAATATACGGTAGTGTTTACTAATAGATGAATAGTATATAAATTCTATTAAAATGGATTTGATCCAAAAAAATATAAAACCAAAAATAATTGTTATAATTTAAATGAAGAAGTAATTTAAAACGATTTTATTTTCTAAAACAAGAAAATAAAACGATAAAATATTTATATTTTATATAAGGATCTTATATATTTAAAATAAATATCATTTTATTTTTTTCATTGGTGTCTGTCAAACCATAATACACTATTCAAAAATTCAATGTGTCTTGCGGTTTCAAAAGACACCTTCAAATTGAACGATAGCACAGACACTATTGAATTTTACCCATTTTATTTAGTTTTTACCCTTTTTATTTTTAAGAATTAATGACTGAAACACAAGATGAATATGAATCCAAATTTGAGGGATGGATTGATTGCAAACTTCCTCCCAAAAATATCCCTCGAAAAGTACCTCCCTTACCAAAATTCGAGGATACTAAATTCTCAACTAATAATAAATGTCGAGTATGTTTCAATATTGCTTATCTTCCAGATACAAGCGAAAAATCGAAAGAATGAAAAAGACTTTATTGTTATTGTTTAGCGATACATTACAATTTACTAACAAAAACATATATGCGCTGCATTTATCATCGAAAACCATCAGAATTTGATGAAGATCATCAGCATATATATCAAATACAATGTGAAAATAATCCATATACGAGAAGAGATTTAATAAAACAAGATAGAAAATTACTTTATGTTGTAAAATTTGTTGTGGATACCAACATGTCAATCAATATGGCCGCTTCAGGTGTACTAGAAGATTTCGCCCGACATGTCTACTCCACCTTCAAGGGAGTAATCAATTTTCAACTCAAGATCCCATATAGAAGAGACGAGATAAGGGATGGAATCATTACATTAGCCGACTTGGTAGCTCCAAAAATACACGTTGAGCTTGACAAGATGGGCTACTATTCGATAACAATTGATGCGGCATCACACGGAAGCCGGCATGGCTTTTTTGTGATGGCTAGCAATCCAGCAAAAATGAAGAACCATATCTTCATTGATACTATGATCGCTGATGGTTGGAATGCCAGGGATTACAATAATTTCTTTGAATGTTTTACCTTCCCAAAGGATTTCCTTTCTGCAATTGTTGCCGATGGATGCCCCGCCCAAGTTAAAGGGCTGTGCCACTGGAGGAGATGCGGAGCACTATATCCGGGTCTTCAAACCGTTTATATCCGATGTGTTGCGCATCTCCTCAACTTAGTGGTGAAGCATACGGCAGACAATTGTGCAGCTTTCGCAATGCAAATTAATTATTGCAAAGCGATAAGCAAGGAGTTATCGAAGCCGGACACGAGAAGGGCATTGAATATGAGGGTTATTCATGTTCCGGATCATCGCTGGATGTTTTTCTGGGATCTTCTGAAGTGGATAAAAGAAAAACACCCTAAAATTTATGAATTGTTCAATATGGATGATCCACCGGAATCTGTTCAGATCTTAAGGGATATGGGAATTGATTTCAAGGATGGACTTCCACAATGGTTGTTAAATTTCGAAGAGATTCTTTTACCAATCAAGAAACTCTTGAATTATGCAGAGAGTGACGTTGGCTGCTTCTGCTACATCTATCCAATGTTTCAATCGACGATTGAGCAGTTGACCGGAATTGCAAATCGTCCTGAATTATCAAGTTCGTCAAAGCGCATTGCAGATGCATTAATCGCCAACATGAATGAAGTTTTTGACAAACAGGGCAACTACGCTTTGATGAAATTTGCCTTTGGTCTAACTCCATGGGGCCGGTCAGTCATCCGCGCAGAATTGAACATGCATACTGAGTACAAGCCAGACGTTTCACTCTTCTTCCAAGAACCAATACCTATCAATGCTGAACTTGAAATCCCTCCAAGGAGCTACACCCCTGATCATTTGGATGAAGTGGCAGAGGATCAATTGGACAGAAATCTAGATATAGAAGAGCCCGAGATTGAGAACGAAGCAATTGAAGGTGATGGCCAAGTAGATGCAGAAGACATTGCTCAGGATGAAGAAGTTGAAGAGAATGAACCAAGGAGGAGACTAGGCAGGAAGTTAGTATCCCTATATTGGGTGCGGCGGCACTGCGTTCCACCTTACCCAAGATAACGGTTTGACACTTTACAAAACCAGTAACGTATATTTTACAATACAGCCATAACACCAACTTAACCTTAAATATTTACAAAACCGTCTGACACATAAACGACTTCACTAATGACTTCACTAATGACTTCACTACCATCCTCACTAAATAAAAAATAACCTTATTTTTATTTTTTAAATTTTTTATTTCATTACAAAGACATGTCCGACTACATTTACTATGACTCTTTCCCAGAACGTTTCCGTGAACTATTCAAAACTCAAGTAAAACTGAGAAACATGCATTTTAACAAAGACAGACCCATTGACGATGAAAGAAACCCTGAATATATTATAATACCTTATGATGCTAAATTTATTGCATACATTCCTTATGGACGTAGAGGAACGAAAACTATTTCAACAAAGACGAAAAATTATTTCTGGAGCGATGAAGAAAATTGCCTTATCTACATAAATACATACTTAAATAAAGCTACATATTGTACAAAAGAAGGTTGGACTGGATTTGAGCTCTACATATACGACGACGATGGAAACAGACGTTGTGTATACCCATACGATAATATGTACCATTGTTTTCATAAAGCATTAAACGAATACATAGTCAGTAAGGGTCTCATTCCTGTTGAGTAGATATGTTTTATTTTTGTTCTGTCATTTATATAAAAATAAACTTAAAAATAAATGATATCACCACCCTCACACGTATGAAAACATAGCACAAAAATAAATTTAGGTGAAGTGGTGAAATCTCACCTCTTTTTTCACCCGGTTTTTCACCCTGTTGAATTCATTGCTTTATAACTCTCTTCCTTGGTTTCTTTTTAGTTGCTTTCTTCACGTCTGTCTCCAACTTGACTGTCTTTCTTCTTCGGCCGTAATGATACCAGTTACTTCCACCAGTCAATGGGTCAAATGGTCTTTCGTAAGGGTTTCCATACATTCCATAGGGACCATACGGAAGAACTACTGGTGGAGAAGAAACATTTTCTTTAGTTCCATCGACTCTATTTAAATGCATTGTTTCACCTTTCATCTGGTCATTAAAGTCTTTTGCGTGTTTTGCAAACTCATCGTCCTTTCCTAAAGCATTTTCTGACTCAGTCGCAACCAAATTGGATGCTTTATTTATGAGCCCTATTTTATTTAATCTTAACTTCTTTGCAACCCAGCCTCCAATCTTCCCTTTATTTGCATCTAATGTCTTCGAAACCCTTCCTCCACTCATTTTATTTACTGCGTCATAAGCTCCAAGTGCTTTTGCTCCAAATGCTAATGCTTTTGTTCCCATTGCGCCTAAAGCTGCCCAAGCTACCATTTACACCATATTAAAATCATCTCTCTTCAATATTATCTCATAAAAGTTCTCGTTACTGGAGAAAGTCAATGAAACATAAGCGTTCTCACGGGCTTCGCCCTCACCACTTTGCGGTCTATCTAACTTCTTTCTTATATCATCTATACGCTTCAAAATGTCTGAACAATTGCTAACATCTTCTACAACAGTTATTTCATCATGAATGACCTTCAAGAACAAGCTCATTTAATATGCTATTAAAATCATCTCAATAATGAGTCTATCCTTTCCATCTTTAGGTAGCACAACATCTTTCATTGAAGAAGGTTCGACAAGTCTTATGTTAAACTTACTGACAAAGTTTGTTATACTATAATGCTTCGGCGGCGAATACATGTAGTTTGAAAGACATAATATAGATTCTTCAGCAAATTCACTTATACTGGATTTTATAACAATGTTCTCACGAGACCAAATACCACCAATTGACAATCTTGTAAGCAATCCTGCTGAACCTTCTACTGTAAACGTCGATGGTAACATTCCACGAAGGTCATCTATTGACATCGTTGAGTCACTGAATTTAAATATTTTCTTAAAGCAATCGTCATTATCTAACCATGCAATAGCTTTGAAGTTTTCATTCGAATATACATCTGCTTCATTAAATGTAAATCCTGACTTCTTTGCAGAGATGACTTTAAAATCTATTGAGTTTGTTTCAAAATTATATGCTATGGTAACTTCTGAAGGTAATGGATGCCCTTCCGCAGTCAGTTGTTCTCTCACTACCGTTTGAAGCTTTGTGTTAAAAACTTTCATGTCATCTCCTGTGTCTAGGTTCACATACACAGCAACAGGGAAACTATCTTGCTTCTTTGTTTCATCATTATATCTCAAAACATTAAAGTTCTTCAATAATATTGTTCTTCCTGCTGGAATACTTCGAACCTGTCTGATTTCAATAGCTTTCTCACCTCCTACATACTCTACCCAGTGTCTTGGATATTCATAAGTATACTGACTTTCTTGAATTTTGGTTGGTTTCATCATAACATGTTCATAGTATATCTTTATACTCTTGTCAGTTAGACTCGGTGCTATTTTCTGAATATTTCTGACTTGCATTTTTAATGGAGATAAAATGAAGCATTTAATACATGATGTAGATGAAGACATGAATGAAACTACAGACAAACTTAACTCTTCTCTTATTCTTCCTTTCAGCAAAGATTATGAATTCTGTTCAAATGGTGTGTATTTCTATTGTGGAAAGATGGGTTCAGGTAAGACATTTAACCTCATTCGTCATATACTCATAACAGAGCGTTTAGGAAACGACTCTTACTATGACCAAATCATTATATCAGCAACTTCAGACTCTATGGACTCAACAGCGAAAACATTTATGTCAAAAGTTCAAGCCTCTGTCGTTAAAGTTCCAGATAGCGAACTCATTGAATTTCTTCAACGTTACATTCGACGTAAGAGGAAATATTATGCTATCGTAGAGTTCATACAGTCAGGAATGCAAAAGACTTCTGAGGAGATGGAAAGAATTATTGACAAACACCACTTACGTCAGTACTCAGGAGTTTACGATATGAAACGACTTACAAACTACATTCTATCAAAACTTTCAAAATACCCCTTCAAAAAATATCCTTCAAACACTCTGCTCGTTTGTGACGACTTCGCCGGAAAAGGTTTAGTGTCAAAACCAGACTCACCATTAGCTAACATCATAACTAAAGTCAGACATTACCATTTAACTGTAACAATACTTATGCAAACATGGCGTTTTCTTGCTTTAAACATAAAACGTCTCATAACTGACTTCGTTATCTTTCAAGGTTTCTCACGTTATGATATTGAACTCATTTGGAAACAGTCAGGTATAACATTACCTTTTGAAGAAATTTGGGAAGCATATAAGTCTCTCATCTCTCCTCGTTCATACCTTGAGATTCATATCATGACTAATACCATTAAAGTCAAAAATATTCCATGGGAACGACCAACATTGTTTTAAAGTTTAACCTTCAATTGACTGATGGTAAACAAATTCCATGCATCTCTGTCGCCATTTCTGTTAATATTTTTGCTGTCATTCATATCATCCACTTCCCCATCCGTTAGCTTTTGAGGATATGCGTTAGAATAGCTGTTCTTAAATGAAGGCTTTTCACCTTTGAGAGCATAAACTCTATAACTTTCTGCATACTTTATGTTTGAACCTCCTGAGCCATCATTGACATAAATTTTTATAGGCTTCCACCCTTTGTTCATATTCCTGCTTCTTCCCTTTGCTCTTTTGTTCAGTAGTTCTACATCTTTATACACAGCTCCTGTCTCAGTGAATTCAACAATATTTTCATTCGTTAGCTTTACATTCAAACCCTTGTCGAGTATATTGTTCATTTCATACATATAAAAGGTTTTTATTCTATATGAAATGAGAAGCAAATCCATCTTAGCTGGTGCCGTTAATGTTCCAATTGAACCAACATCAAATGTTGACTCACGAACGACAAACAATATTGTCATAAAGAACTATAGTTCGGAGTGTTTGAAAGAAAAAGAACCAGATCTTAAGTCGGTGAATTTAAACACAGCTTCAAACGCTAACGCTACATCAGATGTTAAGTTAGAGTATCCACCACTGGACCAAGTTCTTTCAAGAGAAGCCAACGACAACCCTTACACAAATGTTCAAACAAATCCTTCAGATAACGTAGACCATTACCTTCTTCAGTTATACCAAACAATTTTACTCAAAGACGATAAGAAGCTTTTGGTAAATCTTATAAGCAAGAACCAAATAATTCTAACAAAGGAGGACCTTGAAAATGTTATATCACGAATAACAGGGAAACAATGTGTCATTGACTATCTCGACCCTGAAATCGAATGCTGTGGTCAAACTCCACTATTCATGAAAATAGGTAACATCCGCATCATTGAAACACCAGGAACTACAGGAGTTGAGTTTAAGTATAAATATTCGAACGAGTATACAAAACTATCTACTGACTATAAGCTTTGTTTGAAATATGTTTTAGTAAATTAAAGCAGTCAGGAGGGCTCTTTGAGCCCATCTTGGCGCTTTGCACCGTCAGTCAAAAAATTTCAAGTTAGCAATTTGTAATATCTATCCAAAACTTCTTCAACAGTATCGAACTCATCTTCATAAATGCAAAACCTAATCTTATTGACTTGGTGCAGTTTTCACTAACACAATATTTTTCTGTTCTCTTGACTGACATAACTAACTCATTTGTTTCATCAAACAGCAACAACCAAAGTTCATGACCTAATACATAACATTCATACTTTATATTTTTAGCTCTGAGTTCTCTTGTAAGCTGTTACATTTAATATTTTCTAAAAAGTCAACTTCAAACAGTCATTCGCACTGGTTGCCTTCAGTTCTACAGGCTCTCCTTGAAAGTCAACAAGTCTGAATTGCATGTCTTTCAAATTATGAGGACTAATGCGAACCCATTTACCTAAATGAGTTGCTATGACAGGAACGTTTGGAATGAACATTGAATTGACTGCATAACAGAAAGACTTATATTCTACTGAACCTTTACTATTAACTCCTGAAATACCTGTGACATTAGCTATTTTTGACTCAATGTACAAACAATTACCATAACATACGTATGGAACAGATTTCATCTCAATCGTTTTGTCAACACTTTTCAAAGGAAATGTCATATGGTATGCACCCAAAAGAAGTTGTACTCTATGACTCATTCTTGGTATCTTAAACTCTTTCTCGCTGCTGAACTTCAATGTTCCCTCAGAAGAGAGTTCGACATCTATGTTGTCAATAGTTTCTTCATTTATGAGAGTATTTACTCCAGCAATTTTATCTATTCTATACCCAGCTCTGTTAGGAAATGTTATAACACTTCTTTTGTCATCTATTTCAATCTCTATGAAATCTGTTTCATCTGTTATGACAAAAGTTGCGATAGTATTGAAGTCAACAACTCTGAAAGCAAGCGCTTCATTCTGAAGACCTAAGTTTGTTTGTAGCTTTACTGTCCCGTATTCGTTTGGGTCTGTACTTTGCAAATAGAACAACATTTTATTCTCATTAAAATATGACTATTGCTGCATATGCGTATGAAACAAATGAAGCAAGAAGAGCACATGAACTAGTAAACGAAAACTCAACTTTAACCATTGAAGGCAATGATTTAGTCATTGACGATGGAAAAACTAAAAAAGTCATTGATTTCGATACTTTTAACACTTATGACCCATTCATTACAACAAGCAAGGTTCCCATCATAAATGATGGAACGGTGCAATATATAAATTCTACAGTAGATGCCTCATTAGTGAAAGTATTAAATGTTCTCATTGAATTGTTAAAGAGCTTTCGATTTGACGACAACATTAAATGCCTAAAGAATTTAGTCATGAATGAGAAACAAATTCTCGGCGTTGCTGGTAGCAGTAATGATGTACACCTTATGACATTAGAATATTATAACGAACATAAAGATGAACTGAAAGGAGAGAAGGGTGACACCGGACCTCAAGGACCACAAGGAATACAAGGAATACAAGGAATACAAGGACCTCAAGGCGAAAACGGTTTGGATGGTGAAGATGGAAAGGATGGAAAAACTGCTAAATCATGGATATGGAACCTTATAAATACTGGTTTAACAGCTGCTTCATATGGAGTTCTTCAATACCAAATCGGAAAGATATGGGCAGTACTTGGTGAAGAAGTTTTAGATGACGTTAAAAATGCTTTGAACTTCATTTCAAATGGTTCGGATACTATTAAAACTTTATCTGGTTGGATGCAAGAAACAAGGAGTCAAATAGATACTGTAAGACGTATAGCAAACAATGCACGTACGGGATTGGATACTTTACGAGAAGCACAAAATACACTAAAGGAAGCAAATGATATTCTTGGCTCAGTATCAGACATGCATGAAGATTGGCTTAAAGGTATTGACAAATCTTTAAAAAATCACAGTCAGTCTATTGCTGACTACAAGAAAAGTATAGATTTTTTACATAGTGCTATGGACGTACATGATGGAAGCATAAGGAACTTACTTAATGCTAACAATAACTTACCAGGAACTATTAAAGCATTTATAAAGTCCTTTGTAAAACCTGGTGCTCTAACATTTAGGTCTTTGAGAGCAAGAGCATTGAAGTCAAGAGATGCAGAAACTCCAACAGAAACTCCAGAAGAACCACCAAAACCAACAGCTAATGAAATATTGTTCGAATATTTTCCAAGGTACTCTGTTCTCATTGCATACATTCAAGAAATACTTAAGAAAGCAGACTTGACTTTAGGAGATGATGAAAGTTCTGTATATCTTTCGTTCCAGTTTCAAATAGCAGAACTTTTGAGACAGATATGCTTAATGTATGACAACATCTCTGATTTCACAAGATATGATGACGACCATGACCCCGAACACGGTGAAGAAGAAGTTTTACAAACATCCATTAAGACAGGAAAGGTTTTAACTCAAAGTCTCATTATTGACACCAAAGATGGCGAAGTGGACGTTCTTCAAGAGCTGAAGAAAAATACTTCTTCGGGAGGTGGTGGTAGGCATGAACTTGAAATAAATGAGATAGAAGAGAAATTAGCCGAAAAAGCAGATAAAAACCATGTTCATTATATAAGTTCAGACGAACAGATTATAACGGACTACCATGGATATTTAACACAGGATGAACAAATAAGCACTGAAGATGTTAATGAAAGAAGATATAAATTCATTCGTGCTAAAGGTTATGACATACACTGTACTGTACAGTATGACACAGGTAAAGCACCAGAAGCATTTGGTTATAACAATGAAATTTATGCTTCATACTTCTTTGTTAACGGTGTATTAGTTGAACCAAGATTTACATTGAGAGTTAAGGCAAAAATAACTTTTGAAGATGCTATTAAAAGTAAAGCTGACAAAGATGAACTTGACGCAACGAACAAAGTTTTGAAATCTCATAAACACAAGATCTCCGATATAAATGAACTTCAAGCTACATTAAATAATAAAGCTGACAAGAACCATACACATGAATCCTTCACTACTGTTAGAGCAGACGACATAATATTGAACTATACCCTTGGTTCAAGTGCACCTTAGAGAATCCAAGTACAAGCGTAAAAGATACACTAAACTCCTTAAATAGTAAATGTATGAACATTGAAGGTCATGTCAGAAACTTTGAAACATATAAACTACCAGCAATGTTAGATAAAAAAGCAGATAAAGAACATACACATAACTCCTTCTCAACTGTTGCTATAGAAAGTATTGAAGGAACGGTTGACGGAACTGGTGGGGAGGGCGGGCCCGCCGCACGCGGCTGCTTTATATTATAAACCTCCAACTTTCCACAAGGTTTAACATCGAATGAAAACATAACAACGAAGAAAGAAATTAGCTGTAAAAATGTTTATGTCATGGATGATGAAAATAATGTTAAATTCACTGCTCAAGATTTATATGATAATAAAGCTGACAAGAACCATACACATAAATCCTTCACTACTGTTAGAGCAGACGACATAATATTGAACTATACCCTTGGTTCAAGTGCACCATTAGAAAATCCAAGTACAAGCGTAAAAGATACTCTTAACAATTTAGATAACAGTTGCAGGAATATCGAAGATCATGCCAGAAACTTTGAAGCATATGAACTACCAACAATGTTAGATAAGAAAGCAGACAAAACAGAGCTTCAAACATTAAAGACTGAAATACTTCAAACATTATATCCTATAGGCTCTATTTATACGTCAATGAACTCAACAAATCCAGCAACAGTTTTAGGTTTTGGTATGTGGAAGCAGATTGTAGATAAATTCTTATACTGTGCTAGATATTCAAAGCAAACAGGAGGTTCGAAGAAAATTAAAGAAGCAAACCTTCCACCACACACTCATACAGGAACTACAAACTTTTCTGGCGACCATAGCCACTCATTAAGAGACCACCCATTATACAACTCAGAATATGAAGCTGGCAATGACGTTTTATCTCCATCTTATAACAATTCAGCAAAAAAGATTTTTCGACCAACTGAACCAGGAGGAAATCATTCACACACTTTCACAACAAATCCAACAGGCTCGGGTGCAGATTATATGCCACCATTTGTGACTGTATTCGCATGGTACCGTGTTCAATGAAATCTTTAACTTTACATAAATGAGCTTGAAAGAAGTATTCGAACAACATCCATGGAGGTCATTAGAAGTTCAATGAAGCAGCAAAAAGTTGCGGATTTACTAACAGAGCTGAAGTTAAAAAGTTCTTTGACAAAAATGTTGTACATCAAACAAAAATAAACCCTTACGACTACTTTTTACCAATTTACTCCAACACTCCTGACGCATACCAATTTGACACTCTCATTCAAAGCAGAAAAGGAGGACATAAACCATTCCTCATCTTCATTAATGTTAACACTCGCAAAATATGCATATCCAATGAAAAATAAAGGAACTCGTGAAGTGTTAAGAGTTTTACAAAAGTTTGTAGCAGAACATAGCCCAAGTACTTTAACATCAGACCAAGACAGTGCATACCTCAGCAATGAAATCACAGAATTTCTCATTAAGCATAACATAACTCACTACACTACTGAAGACCATAACCATAACATACTCGGCATCATTAACCGCTTCATAAGAACGCTCAGAGATTTAAACCAAGAGCGAGACTTTACCGAAGAAACAATGAAACACTTTCTCGAAGTATATAATTCCTCAACACATTCTACAACAGGACATACACCAAATTCAATGACACAACAACAAGAAGAAAAGTATATACAAAAGAAACGAAGCCAAACACAAAATATCAGAAATTCAACACAATTTACTCTCATTCCTGGTACAAAAGTTCGTGTAGTTCTTGACACAAACCGTTGACAAAGAAACGTTTAAGGTTAAGTCGAAATTATTATATCGTAGACTCTACGCAAGGTAATGGATATCTTATAAAAGCTGCCGACGACTCTATTGCGTTTTATCCTCGTCATAAATTAGTCGAAAGTAGTAATGGCAAACTTGCTGAAACCATTGACGAAGCAAAGCGAGGAGTGGTTATTGAAATACTTGGCTATAACACAAACGATGACACTTATAAAGTAAGATATGAAGGAGGCGTTGAAGATGTTATACCATCTAAGAACTTGAGAGAGTCGAAGCCAACACATCTGGGACCATTAGAGCGGGAGTACTGGAAAGACAAAAATATGCCAGAAAGAATAAGAAAATTCTTCTAAACTTTTTCATTAGATGTAAATCAGACATGAACGAGAACAGTCATGATATCATTAATGGTACCATTTATTTACACCAAAAATAAAGTTTATGTTAGAATGTTAGATCTAACACGTTTTCTAACCACTTTTCTAACATGGTCTAAAACTCTCGAAAATCATGAATTTTTGACATTTCCTTATGAAAGAAAAATAACGCTAATTTTTTTCTAAGAAAAATTTTTATCTTGTATGTAAAGATATGATTTCAACAATAGGTTCTACAACACTTCAAACAACAACTTCACCAAACTCTTTAGTTATGAATCCAACATCTATGTTAGTAGAGATGAAAAGCTTCATTCCTTCTTCATATACTTTTGAGACAGAAATACAAAGAATTAAGCAAGAACTTTTAACAAGTAATTTAGACTGTAGTGCGAAAGATGAAACAAATGAACAGTATCTTTATGACATGCAGGATATTATTGACCATTTACCCAAATTGCCTGAAATCCAACAACAAAAGCTCACTATTCATGAATTCGATGAAATAGAAGTGAAACCAACTGACTCAGTAGAAATAAAGAAGTTCATACGTAAAGTAAACTATGAGTTTCTAGGATATCATTGCAACCATAAAGTTATGGACAAAGATTGCGACATGGTATATAAGAACATCTCTGACATATATAAATCTGGGGAGTTTAAGACATACGACAACTTTGTTTCATTAGTTGCTGAATGTGTATGGCAGATAAGAGATAAAGATAAAAGATGTAAAATATGGAACGAACAAATCAGACCTACATATTCTGAGTTAAAGAAAACCATTGACGCCTTAGTTGTTCTAGCTGGTTTTATTTCAATGTATAACGCAAAAATGAACCCACAATGTTCAAAATGTAAAGCAGCAATAAGGAAATATAACTATTCTGTCAAAGAGATAGAACGTATGAGAAACGACTATGCTGACTTAAAGAAAGAAGTAGAGAAACCAGCAGAAGATAAAATGGACATGTTAGCATTTCTGAACAAAAACTATCCAACTGCTGACGATTTCCTATTATCTGATGTCAAGAAGAAGTATAAAGAAACCTTCGGCATAGTTAAAATTTTTGATATTCTTCGTGAAGAAATAGAAGCTACAAAACTGTTTAAAGTCATGAACCATCGCAACATATACCATGTAAAACGCTTGTAAATAGTTATGTTAGAAAAGTGGTTAGAAAACGTGTTAGATCTAACATGCTAACATAAACATTATTTTTTCTAACTTTTTATCTTGTATGTAAGAACAGTAATGTTAAAGGTTGAGTTTGAAACAGTTAGAAAGATAGACAATGACACAAAAGTGGTTAGAATAGGTAATTTCAACGTAAGATACTCAAAGAAATACAACAAATATTCTTTGTCAGACATTATATCTCCATCTGGAAAGAAAACAAACGACTGGGTTAGAAATGCTTCTACTCAGAAAATTTTGACAAGAAATCCTGAGCTTATGATATCAGTAAGATTCTATGGAACAAGAGCATATCTTATAGACAAAAGTCTTATACCAATAATTTTTCTATGGATTGACCCAGTTGTTGGATATAACTTCATAACTTATGGTTCATTCGACTCAGAACGTTGCAGTGAAGGCTTACTTTACATCGTTCAGAAACCGAAGGACTTCAATACAAAGAGATATAAGATAGGAAGAACATATAATATAACTCAAAGATATGACAGTACAGTCAATAGAGTCAAGGTTGTGTTCGTTAATGATATGAGAGCTGCAGAAACAGAACTACTTGAAAAGTTTGAGAAAAGGTATGGTGCTCCCATGAAAGGTAAAGAAACGTTTGAAGTAGATGTGATAGATAAAGCTATAAAATTATTTGACGAAGTTGCTGAAAAATACATGTAAAGCGTTTATTTTTGGTCTTTTGTGAAAGATAGAAAAAATAAAGTTAGTTTTTTATAAAATATTTTTTTATCCGGAATATAAAGACAGATATGTCAACAACAGAGAACACAACAACTGCTATCGTTCATGAAGCCATTAATGAAGAATACGAATACATACAATATAACAAACAATTGAGACTCATTCGTTCGGTCAAAGACGATATGTACCAGATGCAAAGTATAATGAATGCTCTTCGTTCTACAAAGCAAGCATATCATTGGTTTGAAAACCAACAGACAAAAGAACTTTTAGAAGAATTTCCTCATATGATTGCTTCCCTCGGAAAACCGAGAGAAGAGATTCCGTACGAAAATCGCAAGAATTTGGCACCTGGTTTGAAAGGTTATTATGTTCATAGACTTTTAGTAAATGCTGTAGCAATGTGGGCTTCACCTCGTTATGCTTGTTATATTTTCATGATGTTAGATGAACTATATAAAGCAGAACGTGAAGATATGGAAAAGAAACTTCATGCAAAAGATGAAGTCATTGAATCCAAAGACAAAAGCATACAGAAAAGAATACGCGTTCGTACCAAAAGGAAAGGAAAAGAGTTATAAGTATATGATATATACTGAAGAGTTGGAGAAAGAAGAAGACAGTGACATGGTTATGTTGCATTTAGTCAGAAGAAACAACAAAAGCTTTTACGACCTTGCTAAGATTTACAAATCTGACAGAAATTGGTTCTATTGCGAAAACTTACCGATTTCAATGACACCGAATGAAGATGTTAAACAGATAGTTCAAGATACGTTACCTCAAACACACTATGATATCAAAGGTTGCACAATACTTACATTCAAAGAAGACTTAACATTACTGAAGGAAAAAATAACAGAATATTTCGATAACTTCAAAGAGGAAGAATGAAAAAAAATCTCGTCGGGTGCCACGTTAGAACCATAGTGGAGAAAACCATGATAAAAACAAAACGCTCCATGTCGATCATAATCGACGAAGTGCAAATCTTCACTTCGTCAAGTTTATTTTGTTTTTACCATTTAATTGTTGTAAAATATCCATATGAAGACTAACCAAAAATATATTTTTGCTTAAATGACGTCAGGGTCAATTTCTTCAACCATTTCACTTCCTTCGTCAATGTCAATAGAAGCTTCTTCAACCTTTGGTAAGAATTTCTGTATAACATCTTTGTTCGTTATTGTCTTCAGAGATGAAGGATAATATTTCACATTTGTTTCACCCTTCTTATATTCTTTCTGTTCGGAAAGATTCATAGCAATACTGAAGAAGTCAATGTTAGAGTTCTTTATGACAGTATAATGAGTATCTTTGACATTCACGAAGAAACTCTTTTGTTTCAAAACTACTGCTAACTCTTGTGAAGTATAACGTTTGCGGTCAATGACGATAGCTAATGGTCTGACATACTGACCAAACTTAGATTCTTTCACAAACTTCTTGTTAAAGATAACATTAACATTTGAAGCATTATTGAACTCATTCTTGATGGCATTAGCGAGAGCATTGTATGAAAAGAACTTGCAATCTTGCATGTGTTTCATTAAAATAAAAATTTAAATTATTTTGAAAAATAACTTAAAAAATCTAATCTAATTTTTTCTAAAAATTTTTTTATTTCCTACTAAAGATGTATCGGAAGTTGTCTAAGTTAGAACACTCGGAAATAAAACAACTTCTTACAGAAGCTAATATAGATGTTGCAAAGCATTACGCAACAAACAAAAAAGCACTCGCTGACATCCTCAATGACTATAATGGTGCAATAAGTTATGATAGAATTCATGAGTTCATAAAGCCGCAACGCGGCGAGGACGAAGTCCATGCAAGAGCATTTCCTTTAAATGACGTTGCTATTGACTTATATCATAGACGTTCAGTACCTCATGAAGTAAGAAGAGAAATGTTTGACATAACAAATGCAAACGTTGGTGAAACAAGAAGAAGAGACGACACACTGAAACAACAGAGAAGAGAGATGTTTAAGAGCGCTATAGAACAAGTTCGCAAAGCTAACGATGTCATTCGTTCCATTGACGACAAACCAAAAGAAGGTGAGAGATGGTTAAAGAAAGATGAAGAGAATAGGAAGAGAAATGTGAAGTCAGGCAATAGACTCATTGACTTTAACATCGAAGCTTTAGATGAACCAAACAGAGACTACTTACACAAACATTTCGGTAAGGTTTTCATGAGACTCTTAGAGAAGATTAAAATAAACTCCAACAAAGATGGATGGTATGTTATAAACTTGGTGGAAAGTATGAATGTTCTACGTTAAACCTCAATAATATTGGAACATTACTACATCAGCTCTTGAAGGAGAACTTTATATCAGAGATAGAAGCAAATGCTGCAGGTATTGTTGAAATGCACTATGACTTCTTCTTGACAAACATAAAGAATCTTACCGAAATAAAGATGTATGATTTAACAGAATATGAAGGCTTAACGATGTCAGATGTAAAGAAAGGCAAACCAAAAAAGAGACCATATAGAGATGAAAGCACACTGACAAATGACCAGAAAGCCATTTTGGAAGCTCTTAAGCAAACAGGAAACCCAGCACTTATAGAAAGCTTTTGGAAAGATAATGGTGAAAAGAAGTTTTATAAGAAGAGAAGCGGTCAGTTCTGGAAGTATCTTTGCACATTACCTATAAATCTTGAACGCTACCAAATCTTCAATGAACTGAACAAAAGAACTGCAACACTTATGACAGAAGATAACTGTTCGTTTATGCTTGCATTCAGGCTGGAGTAAATGAAGAAACTATTGACCACATGAGAGAAGTCATTCGTGTTAGAGACTTTCCTCAAAGTAAAGTACAAGAAATTTCTGACGCAACAGGTATAGCATTTAATGTTACCATTGGTTATTTCAATGACTCAAGACATAATGAAATAAAGAGATACATATACCAAAAGAATGTGAAACTGTTCGAACTATTGACTTACTTCTTGTTGAAGACCACTACATGCTAAATGAAAGATTACCAATGACAACATATTTCATTCGCAAATATAGAAATCTTGAAAGTGTGGTGGAATGAACATTGAGAAACAATGAAGATTTATACAAAGAGAGAAGATAAATATGTAGTTCGTTATGATAGAACAACACCGCTATGGGATGTTATGAAAACATTGTGGGAGTGCAAATATTTCGAACCTATTTCTTATGGAGAACTTTTCACATATACGACTGACTTATATAAACAGAACCTTGCACCATTTAAAGATTTGACATATGCTCCAAAGTATTGTGTACAACTGAAGAAGAAAGCCGAGTCAAAAGAAGTAAATAAAAATAAGTGCAAGTTCATTCCTGAGCACGTTTTCTTTGCTGACTTTGAGTGTAGTACCGATGGCTTTCATAAAGCTTTTAACATATGTTACGACAGTGAAGATGGTTCAGTGAGTGAAAGCATTTGGGGTCAGAACTGTGCAACAGAATTTTTGGAACGACTTCCTGACAAGAGTTTAATATATTTCCATAACCTCAGTTATGATATAAACTTCATCTTAAGACACATGACAGAAGTGAAAGGAACTCCCATCATTAAAGGTTCACGAACAATGCAAATAACTGGCTTATATAAAGGAAGGGCAATTATTATAAAAGACTCTTACAGTGTTATAAATAAGAAGCTTAAACTATTTCCTGCTATGTTTAACTTACAAACAGGACCGAAAGAAGTATTTCCATACAACTACTACAGCAGTGTTTTGTTAGCAAATGACAACAGAACTGGTGTCATTTCTGAAGCATGTAAGTTTATCCGGGATGCAGATACATTCATGAAAAACATAGATTCCATCAAAGGTTGCAGAATAGATGAAAACCACTTCGACTTAGAAAAATATAGCACATTTTATTGCAAACAAGATGTAAGAATTTTAAGAGAAGGTTTTGTTAAGTTCCGCAATGACATATTGAAAGAATTTGATTTAAACGTTTATGACTACGTTAGTATTTGTTCAATTGCTAACAAATTATTTGAGAACAGAGTGTACTTCCCGAATGGAAATTTATATGACCTCTCAAATAAACCAAGAGAATTTATTTCGAGATGCATTCAAGGTGGAAGATGTATGTTGTCAGATAACATGAAACAAAAGAGCGAAAAGAAACTCATTGCTGACTTCGACGCTGTTTCATTATATCCATCAGCTATAGCAAGACTTTATACTTTAGAAGGAATTCCAAAGGTTATGAAGGATGAGATGTTAAGCACAGAGTATCTCATGAGACATTTATTCGATGACGACCAAAAGGAACCCATTGGTGAAAAGTTTATGTCTGGCTTCTTTGTTCTCATTAAGATAACAGAGATTGGAATACATAGACACTTTCCTTTAATAGTTTGTGACCCTGAACTAAATCCAGAACTTAACGTTCCCAGAAGTTCAAACACTTGCTGTTTAATGTATGTTGACCATATAACATTACAAGACCTCATAAAATATCAAGGTGTCAAATGTGAAGTGTTGCAAGGATACTATTACGATGGAAACAGAGATATTAGAATAAGAGATGAAGTAAAGAAGTTGTTTGAGTTAAGGTTAAAGTATAAGAAAGAAGGAAATCCTTTGCAAGAAAATATAAAGCTCATTCTGAACAGTATTTATGGCAAAACTATTCTATCTCCTATTGAGTCAAAAATAACCATAGTAAATGACAAAGATGCTATAAGATATGCCATCAGAAACTACAACCATATAGTGAAGTTCGAAGGTTTGGATGGTTCAGATAAAACTATTTTCAAGCTAACGAAAAGCATTTGCAGACACTTTAACTTCTGTCCACTTGGTGTTAACATTCTGTCTATGTCGAAGAGAATAATGTGTGAAGTATTCTGTACTGCTGAAGATATGGGTCTTCAAATATTTTACCAGGACTGTGATAGCATGCATATTTTCAATGAAGACATCCACTGTTAGCTCAGGAATTTCAAGAAGAGATACGGTAGAGAACTTATTGGTAAAACATTAGGTCAGTTCCATTCTGACTTCGCAGAAATAACACCTGGAAAACAAAGTTTAGCATACAAGTCAATATTTTGTGGAAAGAAGACTTACATAGACTTACTCACGAATGATTTAAATGAAGTTGCATTTCATGCACGTTGTAAAGGTGTAAAACAAGACGTTCTTGCTTTAACAGCTAATGAAATGTTTCCTGAAGCTATACAATGCTATTACAATGAAGATAAGAACATTCACATACCTGTTGGAACATATGACAAAGACTCTGAGTTCAGTTTAATGAAACTTTACAAAGCACTTCATGATGGTCAAGAGATTGGATTTGACTTATGTAAGTCTTCTAGTCCTTGCTTTGCTGAAAAGTTTAACTTCTCAATAACGACTAAAACAAGCTTTATTCGTAAGTTGAAGTTCTGAGGTCATTTATTTTTGTCAGCAATGAGGTCATTCGTGATAAAAATAATGAGGTCATATATTTTTGTCATTTATGTATAACCATTGTCTCTCTTAAACTTTGCAATAGACAGCTTTGTTCTTCTTCCTTCTACATCTGTAATGTTTATATAATCTTTGCTATACTGTCTTAAGACATTCATTCGTCTGTATTGAGTTCCCATGAAATAGTAAAAGACATCTTCACTTGGGACATAGTAGTAATTTTCTAGAGTAAATTTAGAGTATTGTATAATTTCAACAGCATCTTCAGGAAGAGTGTCTACAATGTCAAACCAATAGCCATTCGAACCAGAAATATTTCTCATGTTTTGTCTTCTCGACACCCACCTTAAGTTTGAGATATGAAAGTCTCCTCTGTCTCTGTTTATATGGTCTACTTCTCGAAGTCCTTCAGGATTCGGTATAAATTGATTTGCAACAATTTTATGCTTAAAGAGTTTATGTTTGTTTAAATAAACACAAATATAACCATCACCGTTGTCAAACTCACTTACAACTCTTTTGTTACTTATGCGCCTAATTGGATATGGGTACTCTGAAAAGATTTCATAGTCATTGTCATGTTCGAGTGTTTGCCAATGTCCTTCACCTTCCATGCCTTTCACTCAAATAAAAATTTTCAGAAAAAATAAAACTAGCGTAGATTTTACAATACTGCGATGGTAGAGTTTAAGAGTTGTGCTTCAATGTAGAGACAGTCCTTATGGTCTGGAGGTAAGAACACTGGGCAGTTATGGTCATGAGTGGAGAACATGTCTATCCAAAACTCACGATTGAAGCCAGTTAATTTATAGTATTTAGGATTTGGTAATGGTGAATTTCTTGTATGACCAATGAACTCATTTTCAACTCCCTTACTTAAGTTTGAATATAATATAGCTTGCTTTCTATCCCAAATGCCAGGTGTTACAATCTTTGAAAATTCATTTTTCCTCGGAAGCATTGCATCATAATTGAAAACATTCTTGAAATCATCACTTGGTTCAGAGATTTGAAATCTTATACGTAATGGATTTTCTTTCTCTTTAGCGACTTCATTGAATGGTGAGAATACAACAAACTGACAGTCATGAGTTCCATCTTCATTTTCATTAAATTCATAATGAAAGTCTATAAGTTGTGGCTGACTACCTTCTTCTTTCAGTTGTGCAAGAAACTCACGTAAAGGCTGTAAAGTTTGTACTTCAATGTTAAACTTTTTCTCGAACACTCATTAAATGAAATCATACATTGTTGCAATGTTGTATCGTCTTTAAAGTATTTGTATATGTGAATGTTTTGGGCGCTTAAAGACTGTTCGTCATTTTCTATCTCGACTTGAAGTATAAAGTCAACCTTTCTGAAAGCACGTGTTATATACATAGATGTTATGCCAATGTACTTCTCTTCATTTATGTTCACAATCCAGTCTGTTGGAAACTTAAACGTTACTCTGTTCCCCTTTATTTTGACGTCAGGGTTTTCACTACTGAACGCAACAGATAAAGGTATTTGTCTATACATTTAATTCGGATAAAAATAAACCATTTACTCTTTCTTTGCTTCAGCTTCTTTAGCTTTTGCTTCAGCTTCTTCTCTAGCTTTCTTCGCCAGCAAACGTGGGTTCTTTTGTCTTCCAGCAGCTAATGCAGCAAGTTGTTTTTCACTAAGTTTTCTCTTTGGTCTCTCTGGCTTTTGTTCTTGTTTTTGTTCCTTCAGTTCGGATAAAATTTGCTCACGAATTTCTTTCTTCAATGCTTCAACATCTATGACCCCTTGGGTCTTGTCCGTAGGGCTTGTCTGAGTCATTTGACTGCAGATAAAAAACAAAATTAAAACTTTAACCGATGTAAAATGAGCTTGTCAAAATCAGAGCGAGAGTCTATTATATTAAATGACGCAGAGGAATACAACATCCTTTCTATTACGTAAGTCAGAGTAAAGATGGTAAAATATACGTAAGAAAAAGAAAGGTTCCATTAGCGAATGCAGAAAGCGACAACATTAAGGTGCATGGCACGAGGGCGAAGCCCATATAAAACCTTCTATTCAAACTGAAAAGTCAATAGAACCAGAAGAAAAGAAGCCAGATGTTCTTTCAATAACGAACCAAGAGCTTATTGCAAAGTTCGTGAATTTCATTGAAAAACAAACCGAGTCAAAGAACCCTGACCCACCAGTGAAAGAAGTTGAGACAAAAGAGAATGTACAGTTCATTGAAAATGTCAAGAAACAACTTCCACCACAAATGCCAAGAAGAAGAGTGAGAATAATGAAGTAAATAGATATTTTTATCTGAAGTAAATACATGCAGAACGAACAGCTAAACGAATTTACTCCAGCAGAGCATATTCATCAGATTCGCTCATATAGGGTGTCCAAAGGTGCGTTTAGCACAGCGCTCTATATGAGACTATTAAAGGAGATATATGCTGATTATAAATATATAATAAAAAATATGAATATATGTATATGATGAGTATGTTGTATTTTGGCGCCATGCCGGGATATAAAATGAATTTTGAGACAAGAGGCGGTTTCGCGGAAAATTTTGGCGGGATTTTTTTTCATTTTTTTAATGAATCATAAAGAAAACATCCTCGCTCTTGCAAAAATGCAAAGACTGTAAAAAAATCTACGAGACATTGGTAAAATGCTTCGGTATGGATGCTCCTAGCTATTCCACTGTAACGTATCATGTTAGGATGTATCACTTCATGAACAAAAGGCGCCCATCATAAAAATTGACAAAAAAATCGCCGGATCAAAGAAAAATCAAAGCAATTCTTCAAGCGCTAGATGAAGACCCAAGAGCATCACTCAGAAGGATAGAGGAGATGACAAAGATACCACGTACAACAGTCAGTTATTATCTGCACAATTATTTGAACTACAAACTAGCGTATACACGTTGGGTTCCGCACAACCTTAATTCAGTTCAAAAAAAATCTAGAGTCCAATCTTCGAAAGAGCTCCTCTCTATATTGGGTGCGTATCAATCCAAGAAGTTTCGCTTTTTAGTAACAGGGGACGATCTTGGTTTCAATATGCAACAGAAGCCAAAATCATGTGGATCCCGAAGGATGAAAATCCGCAAACATTCCCGAAGAAAAAAATTGACACACCAATGATGATGTTGTCGGTTTTTTGGGGCGTGAATGACATCATCGCAATTGATATTCTTCAAAAACCTAATACGATGAATGCTCAGTATCTAATTGACAATGTTCTTACTCAAATTATCAATTCTGATGAGTTTGAGAAATCCAAACAACAAAAACAAAAGTTTGCAATTCATTTTGATAATTCAAGAGTTCACAAAAGTCATAAGGTAATGAATTACTTGGTGGAAAACAATGTCAAAGTTGTTCCAAACCCAATTTATTCACCTGATATTGCACCCTCTGACTTTTATTTATTCGGCACGCTAAAAAAGAGAGCTGAAGGACGCGAATTCGCGAGTCCAGATGATCTTGAAATTTTGTAAGAGAGCAATTTGAGCAATTTTCTCATGATGATTTAAAGCGTGTCTTTCAAGCCTGGATCGATCGCTGCGAACGCGTGATTGAATCCAATGGTGATTATATTTAAATAAACTTTATATATATGTAACTTGTTTATTTCTATTCGCAGTATTCAGGTTTGTGCTAAACACACCTTTGGACACCCTATATTTCGATATCATAGACAATGCAGTTCAAATTGGTGACACTAATAGAAAATATTCTGACGCAAAGATTCCATCACAACCTGGAACTGCTAAAGATAACACATGGGTAACATTCAATCTCTCACCTCCTGGTGAAAATATGTTGGACCTTTACAATACATTCATTACGTATAAAATGGAAGGTCAATTTATTGTAGATAAAGAAATTGGTTCAGGTTCCAATAAAACAAACCCACCAGGATTTTGGATTGGTTTCGATGACGCTTTCTATGCAGTTGCTGGATATCAAATCCTTGCAAATGGTCGTATCGTATATTCTCAAGACAACGCAAGAGAAGAAGCATATATAACTTCAAACTCACAAACTACCGAACAAATAAAGAAGTAGATGTTTTCTCAAAGACTCGACATGAAGATGTATGGAGTCATTCGGGAACATGCAGAACAGGACAAATTGTTAGTGGTCCAATTACAGCAGGAAAATCATTTGATTTTAAGCTTCGTTTAAGAATTCCTGTTAGAAGATTCTTCCATTAGAAGCTATTCGATTTATTCCAGCTTTTGGAGGAAAACGTTCAGCTTAAAGTAAAGTTCAGTAGCGACGCCTTACAATGCACATCTATATCTGTAAATGATATCGTTGCTTTCAATCCAACTCTTAAAGTTGCATTTGCTTCAGATTCAAATCCACCGACAAATAAATTTGTTCCATGGAATGAACCATTCACTATGATAACGAAGGCAATAGAAGCTAGTGGAACAGTTACTATTACAACTGTAACCCAGCAACTATTTCGAACAAAGATGGATTTTAATGAATGTTTCATTCATCCAAAATCATTCTCTTTAGACCCTAACATTTATACAGAACTTGTTGAACATTATACAAACGAGGCTTTATGTTTTCCTGTTAAAGTTATTGATTGGATTCCTATGGACGGTTCATTCTCAAAGAATACAGATAGTTCAAGTGCAACATTTACAGCAGCTTATACGCCTATTAATGTTAAAAGTATTTGGGCACTATTTAGAAAGAAAGACAACTATTATGTTAATTTTGAGAACCCTAAGTTTAAATATCTTCAGCTTTCCATGGGAGCTTATGGAAATATGCCTGCAGAACCTGAAAAATCATATGGACCTGTATTTTATGAAATGGTTGCGAAACGCTTGCAATACAAACAATGATATGATTGGATTTAATGAAGATGTTATGAGGTCATTGGTGGATGATGGTAGTGTGGAACATAAATGGGATAGCTATGACAACACACATTTCTTATGTGGTTTTCCAACAGAAGTGGACTTTTTGCTTCCAGCAAGGTCAAACATCTACTGCTCCAATAACATACAAATTGTCTGTTAAAGGACCTATTGAACTAGCAACTGAAAATGTACCAAAGCCACTTATTGGATTTATGAGGGATTGTTGCTTTGCCATTCAGCGTGCGTGCTAATGGCATCCCAATAATAAGATTAGATGACTATAACTTAGCTGCGGACGACAGTGAGGAATAAAGGATGAACGTTTATTTTAAAGCTTATAAATGAGTTCTTCATCAAGCTCTCGTGAACCTTCACCATCTATGAAACAAACTTTACCAAACGATTATGGAGCACCTATTGAATATTTCTTACGAGCTGCACAATGGCAAAGAGCAGTCTCACCAAGGTTAGGTGTTCCACCAGCTCCTGTCAAAAATAGCATTTGGTCAAGTCCTTATATAAGATATGGTCTCCCACTAGGTTTGCTAGCTACAGCAGGAGCAGTTATGATGTTGAAAAGAAATAAAGCAAATGTTGTAAATAATACTGAAGTAGCTGAAGTTAAACAAACTCCAACACCTTCGCCAAAACCAACGTCAAAACCAACGCCTTCACAAGCAAAACCTTCAATGACTCCTGAACCTATGGAAGTACAAACTCCTATTCAAAAGTCAACTCCTAAACCGACTCCAACATTTAAACCAGAACCTACTCCTCAAATAAATCGTAAAACTCCTGCGTTTCCTTACTGAAAAAAATAACGTTATTTTTATTTAATATTAAAATTTTTATTTGATTGAAATGACGACTAAAGTCACTGAAGCAATGAAACAAAAGTTTTTGGTAAAATACATTAAATCAGGAACTATTCCAGAAGGTTTTTACGTTCATACTATGAAGGATGGTAGAGTTCAGTTTAGAAAGATAAAGCAACCATTAGATAAAGAAGGAATTTTGAGAAAGATTAAACTTCATGAGGACAACATTGCTGAACTTAAGAAGAAGTTAGAAGAGTTGGAGAAAGGAAGAGAGTTATAAAGCAATGAATTCAACAGGGTGAAAAACCGGGTGAAAAAAGAGGTGAGATTTCACCACTTCACCTAAATTTATTTTTGTGCTATGTTTTCATACGTGTGAGGGTGGTGATATCATTTATTTTTAAGTTTATTTTATATAAATGACAGAAACAAAAATAAAACATATCTACTCAACAGGAATGAGACCCTTACTGACTATGTATTCGTTTAATGCTTGATTGAAAACAATGGTACATATTATCGTATGGGTATACACAACGTCTGTTTCCATCGTCGTCGTATATGTAGAGCTCAAATCCAGTCCAACCTTCTTTTGTACAATATGTAGCTTTATTTAAGTATGTATTTATGTAGATAAGGCAATTTTCTTCATCGCTCCAGAAATAATTTTTCGTCTTTGTTGAAATAGTTTTCGTTCCTCTACGTCCATAAGGAATGTATGCAATAAATTTAGCATCATAAGGTATTATAATATATTCAGGGTTTCTTTCATCGTCAATGGGTCTGTCTTTGTTAAAATGCATGTTTCTCAGTTTTACTTGAGTTTTGAATAGTTCACGGAAACGTTCTGGGAAAGAGTCATAGTAAATGTAGTCGGACATGTCTTTGTAATGAAATAAAAAATTTAAAAAATAAAAATAAGGTTATTTTTTATTTAGTGAGGATGGTAGTGAAGTCATTAGTGAAGTCATTAGTGAAGTCGTTTATGTGTCAGACGGTTTTGTAAATATTTAAGGTTAAGTTGGTGTTATGGCTGTATTGTAAAATATACGTTACTGGTTTTGTAAAGTGTCAAACCGTTATCTTGGGTAAGGTGGAACGCAGTGCCGCCGCACCCAATATAGGGATACTAACTCAGGAACCTTGGTGAATGGGCGTCTCTGTCAATGCAAGAAGTGGAAGAATACAACTTCAACGATTTTATGATCGAGATGCTTTCGAGACGTGCAGAAGCAGAAGCGAGGTTCTACAAGAGAAGTTCGGCCAAGAACATAGCTAATGAGTACAAGAAAGCTCTTTCCAACTTTATACATATGAATGAGAGTGAAATCAGGAACAACACCGACCTCACCTGCTTGGATCAAAGGTTTTGGGTAGCATGTGATGCAAATTTCAAGGCATTGAAAGAGATTGCCTTAAAATCCATGTCTATTGCTGCAACCGAAGCTGATGTGGAAAGAATGATTTCAATTGTGCGGAACCTGCGTAATAGGTTTAATCAAAACCACGTGAAGATCTAATAAAGTGTAGAATCCTATTGAAGCTTTTCATGACAAATGAAATCCTGAAAAAGATATTTCCAAGATGACTGAACTTGCCGTAGCTCCTTGATGCTGTAGCTCCATGCTGCAGCTTGACCTACTGTAGCCCCTTGATGCTGCTTGATTGTAGATGTTGGCCTTGAATGATGCCGCTTGACCTGCCGTAGCCCCTTGCTGCCGTAGTTCGTTGCTGCCGTAGCTCCTTGCTTGCTGCTTGATCGTAGATGTTGCCCTGAATGCTGCCGCTTGATTGTAGATGTTGCCCTTGAATGCTGCCGCTTGACCGTAGATGTTGGCTGTGAATGTTTATCGCTTCAACCGCTAGCTCCTAACTGCCTCCAAACAGCCGTTTTGCTATGACCTCAATCACTTTTATTTATTATTTTAAATATATATTTAATTTTTATTATTTGAATAGGCCAACTTATATTTGAGAAGCTCAATTTGAGACCACTTAATACATTGAAATATCATAAATATTGAAATATTAAAAAGTGTATTTTCAAAATATTGAAATTATAAAATTTATAATACTGAAATTGAGACAAATTAATAAATTCAATGTGTTTTTTTTGAAATAACTCTCAAATATTATTTTTTTTGTTTATTTAATGATGAATAAATATGATTGCTTTAGTCAATCATAAAAAACTAATTTAAGTTTAATAATGAAAGGATAATTTGATCGTTTTTTAAAATACAATTATTTTTGATGATTTGCAAGAAGCTTTGAAAAGAATATAATATAGGTTCTATTTTTGTAAAATTTATCCAAATCATGTATTACATAAATTACGATTAAAACGATGAAAGAACCAAAAAGTGTGTTTTGTGTTTTGTTGTTGCGTGTTGGATGCGGGATCAAAAAAAAAAAAAAAAAAAAAAAAAAAAAAAGGTAGTGGGGCTTCCAGGCACTTCGTGCCTTCTAGCCCTGAAGATGTTTAGTATAAATGAAGTCTTAGAGGACAAACATGACTATGAGTTTTGATATGACAAGATAGAATATGAGAGAGGTCCTATAAACCGGAGAAAGTGTTATATAAACATCTGTCATATTACTCAGAATATTATACAGAATTCAATAAAAATATATTTTAGGTGAAGAGGTGAGATTTCACCTGTTTTTTCACCTCATTTTTCACCTCTTGAATTTTCATGAATTTCATCGTAAAGACTTTGTCAAGATTTCATCGTAAAGACTTTGTCAAGATTGTCATCGTAAAGACTTTGTCAAAACTTCATCGTAAAGACTTTGTCAAAACTTCATCGTAAAGACTTTGTCAAGATTTTCTTCGTAAAGACTTTGTCAAAACTTTCATCGTAAAGACTTTGTCAAAACTTCATCGTAAAGACTTTGTCAAGATTTCTTCGTAAAGACTTTGTCAAAACTTCATCGTAAAGACTTTGTCAAGATTTCTTCGTAAAGACTTTGTCAAAACTTCATCGTAAAGACTTTGTCAAAACTTCATCGTAAAGACTTTGTCAAGATTTCTTCGTAAAGACTTTGTCAAAACTTCATCGTAATGAGCGTAAATCAGACAAAAATATATTTTAGGGTAGAAGGGTATATCTACCCCGTTTTCTACCCTCTTTTCTACCCCATATGTACTTACTGAAAAAGTATGTGTTCCATCTGTCATTTTACTCAGAATTTTACACCAAAAATAATGTTTAGGTGAAGAGGTGAGATTTCACCTGTTTTTTCACCTAATTTTTCACCCTCTTGAATTTTCATGAATTTTACACCAAAAATAATGTTTAGGTGAAGAGGTGAGATTTCACCTGTTTTTTCACCTAATTTTTCACCCTCTTGAATTTTCATGAAATTTACACCAAAAATATACTACTAGGGTCATTTACGAAGAAATCTCAACAAAGTCTTTACGATGAAATCTTGACAAAACATAGACAAGAAAGTTCATGAGAAATTAGATGAAGAAGTCTTAACAAAGTCTTTACGATGAAATCATGAAAATTCATGAGGTGAAAAAAGAGGTGAAAAAAGAGGTGAAATCTCACCTCTTCACCTAAAATATATTTTTGGGTCATTTACACTCATTTACGAAGAAATCTCAACAAAGTCTTTACGAAGAAATCTCAACAAAGTCTTTACGAAGAAGTCACAATAAACATCTGTCAAAAGCCGCTTTTTAACTTCACTTAAAATGCCACGTAAGCTACGTAAGAATATACGTAAGAGGAAGAGAGCAATGAAACATCCAATAGTAAAACTAACACCACAACAACAGTTGCAACAACAAATGCTGAATGACCCCACTATGTTGCAACAAATGTCAAGCAATCCTATGCTTTTAAACCGAGTTGTTGGTGCACAGAGTGGAGGTTTAAGAGCGGCACTTTTAGCGAAAATGGCAGGCTATGGTGGAGCTGCAGACGGAACAGCATATAACCCTCAAAGTCAAATGAATTTGAGTTCACTCAAAAATCAAATAACAGATGTCAAAAAGTCAAACATAGACATACAGAAACAAATAAGTGAAAACGAAAAGAAACTAGAATATGACAGACACACAAAGAAACTCAATGAGTTAAACGTAGAGAAAAAGAAGAAAGAAGAACAACTGAAAGAACTAAGTACAGAGGAATATGCGAAAAAAGTGTCAGAAAAAGCAGCAGAAGTAGCAAAATGGAACAAGATGTCATAAATTTGAAAAACCATACTACTCAATATAAAATACTGAAAGATGAAGAGATAAAACAAAAAGCCCTGAAGACATATATGGATAGCGATGAGTATAAAAAAGAAGTTGAAGCAAATGTAAAGGCAGAAAAACTTTTACAGTTGCAAAACCAAACCGTACAGTATGAAAACTTAGCACAAGAAAGTAAAAATAACGACGCAGCCATGCAAAAGGCAATGAAAAGCGCAGAATATATAAAAGCTAACAATGACTGGTTAGATGCCCAAGCCAACGCCAAAGCAGCCCAACTTATAGGGTCAATAAGGACAAAAATACAAGCGGATGAAGACAGTTCAAATGAAGCTTTAACAAATGCTGACTTTAAGAACGCCTTCGAAGCTCTTCATAGTAAGGTGAAACTAGTGAACGACTTCTCATCTGGAAAGAAACTGAAGTCTGAAGGTTTCGACAAAGAGTTAAAAGAAGTAGCACAAAATATGACGAAAATAACAGATGCAGCAACGAGACAGGCAGTTCAAAGTGCCTATGACGCCGTTAGAGCAACTGTTGTGAAAAGTCAAGAAAAAGAGTTACAACAGACCAAAACAGACCTAGTAAATGCTTTCTTAAAAACGAAAAGTCAGGTAGGACATTACGCTGCAGATGGAACATATGTGCCAGCTGGTGGAACTTATATACCAGCTGTTGGAATTTATATACCACCAAACCCTCCAAGAGAAGCACCTGCACCAGGACTACCTAAAACATTTACATCGTCACATGGACACAGACACAGGCATGCACCAAAACCAACACAACAACCAACACAACAACCAACACAACAACCAGCACAACAACCAACAGTTCAAAACACTGCACCACAACCAACAGTTCAAAACACTGCACCACAACCAACAGTTCAAAACACTGCACCACAAACAGAGCAAGGACATAAAAGAAGTAGAGAACAAGGAAACCAAGAATTCTTAAAAATGCTTAAGGAAGACTATGGTTACCCAGATACTCTTGACTTTAGTGACAGATATAAAGAAGCTATTAGAAAGTTCAAGGAAGGAAATACTGACCCGAACCTATTTAGCTTTATGGTTCAGCACCAAATGGGATATAATTTCAAACCTGGAAAATACAAGCTCGCTAAGGGATATGATTTAATAGCATATCATCCAAATGACATGGATGAATTTACTCCGAGATATTTGATGTCAGAGCTAAATGACAATTCAACTTTCGTCATGAAACGCGTAAAAAATAGAGACGGAACGAAAGAACAAAAGCTTATGAATGCGGATGACGTAGATAGGGAAATTGTTGAAAACGGTCTCGGAATATATGAAATGCCAGCAGATGAGGTACAAGAAAACTCCACAGGAAGAAGTTCAGATACAACCAGACATGGAAGAAATAGTTCAGCAACAACAGCTAGAAGAGCCTGAAGGAAACGAACAAGTCACTCCTTTGGAAACTAACTTCACAGAACTAGATGAAGATTTGGAACAGCCGAAAAAATCTTGACCCTCAACAAGAGCATGAGGTGAATATGGAATCTTTCCAAGAGTCTAAGAAAGATTCGGCTGACATAGTAGAAGAATATCGAAAAATGTTTGCCGACATACAAAAGACTCCAACACCAGATGAAAATATTCAGCATAGAATGGAAGAACTGAAAAAAAATGTACACAAATACAACAACCCTTTTTACTTACGAGCATTTAACGTTCAATCTTCGGATGAACTCGGTGAAAATAAAAGGTTAAATTTCAAGAAAACATATAGAAATGAAACATTGTTTAAAGTTCATTCAGAACCTAACCAAGATGGAAACAAACCTACTTTTGTTTCTGCAGACGATGGAACTACAATGAGATGGGGTCATAAAGCTAATTCGGATAGGTGGTTCATAAACTTACAACCACAATTCCAAGAAGTTGTAGACGCAATGGAAGTCAATGGTGAACCAGATATAGCTGGTATTTTAAGCGCGGCTTTAATGCCATTGAAAGATATGAAACATGCAGATATTTTGGACCAGTATGAAATGAACATGGCTGATGGAAATATAACACCTGACGTTCTAGAACATTTATCTCAAAGAACTACACAGAACCATAGAGATGGTATATTTGGTGAAGAGTTTAGAAAGAAAGTTAGGGAGATAGAAGGAAGAGAACCTATTGTACATGACCTTGCAAACGAAAGTTTGCAAAATGTCATAAAAACTTACTTTGCAGACAATGAACCGAGAAGGGATGAATATTTAAGAAAACTCAAATGGACAGTACCA